CTTGAAGATTGACATCTCCAAGTATAGGGGAGTCGAAGAGGACTCCCTCTTGAGATGGTTCGTCGAATTGGATGACGCCATAAGGGCGCGTCGCATCGACGGTGGGGATATGCAAGTTGCATTTGCCCAGTCAAATCTGGCAGGACGTGCCAAGACTTGGGCACTGGGGCTCAAGTTGCACGACCCATATGCGTTTGGGATGTTGGAAGTCTTCAAGTCGCGGCTCAGACAAACGTTTGAATCGCCTCGAGCTGAGTTCAGAGCTCAAACCGAACTCTTGAAACTCAAGCAGGGTAAGCGTGATGTGCACGCTTACGCGCACATATACGACATCTCAAGAGTTGTATAAGTTCCAATCCGGTGGATGAACACACGTTGGTTTCGGTGTTCATGCAGGGTCTTGCGGATGGTCCCTTCAAGACTCACCTGTTCCGGCTTGAACTAGATTCACTAGAACAAGCAATTTCCATTGCGGAACAGGAAGACTTCAGTCTGAGACAGGCTCGCGCCAGATCGACATCGTATCGTCAACCGAGACGATATGACAACGGAGGTCCAGAACCGATGGAACTCTGTTATGTAGAGAGCGAGAAGGCTCGCTCTACAGACTACAAGAAGTTGCAGAGATGCAACAGATGTCAGAAGACAGGACACTACGCTTACGAGTGTAGTGCCCCTCGTCCAGTGTCTCGCGACACTGGGCGTAGTGACCGTCCACCCATGAGAAAGGGGCAGGGACGCGGGTCCGCTGTCGGTGCAAAGACGCAACAACGGTATGGACCGTCAAAAAAACAGACAGGATCAGTAGGTGCGGAGCACCCTACTGGTCCAGCAACGTCAAGAGAATTTGTAGGCCTCTTGATGAAGGTTGCTCCCAACACACAAACGTTGTGCGTTGCTGCTCTAGGTAATGAGATCTCACTCATTACCTTGAAACTCGAAGTGACAAATAAGTTGTCTCTTCGAGCTCTAGTTGATTGTGGGGCGTCCAACAATTTTGTGCGACGCCAATCGCTAGAAGATGGTCACTTTAAGTTCAGTGAATATGACACACCTCCTACGAGGATGACGGTACGTCTTGCGACAGGCGCATCCGTAACCGTCATGAATCGTATAGTGTAGATCCACTATACGCTAGAAGATACCCAATATGACGATGACTTCATCGTATTGGAATTGGATGACAAATTTGATGTCATCCTTGGAATACCGTGGCTCAGAAGGTACGAACCACGGGTAAACTGGCAACATCGAACAGTAACTATGCCTTCCGCTTGTTCATCAGATGGCCATCTGATGAACGTTTTGGAGCGTCCACAAGCGTGTGGATGTACTACGAGTGAGTGCGATGGCCTCACTTGTGGTACGGTCGTTAGTACGACTGCACAAAACCTTAGTGTAACAAACGGTTACACTTCGGAGCAAAGTTCCGGCGGCTGTGAGGAAACACAGGCTGAGCCGAAGGTCCACCACTCGAATAAGTCGAGTGGACCGGGACAAAGATGTATCCCTAGAGGGGAACATCTAGAAGAGAAAATATCGATCGCTCAGGTTAAGCGAAACGATAATCCTAGATCGACTGGAGAGTCTTTCGTAGAGGATCTCGCTGTGGTTGCGCAACCCCAGCTAGAGGAAGTAAAGGGAATAAGTCCCAAGATTACAAATACGGCGGAAATAAGTTCCCCGAAACCCGCGGGAATAAGTCCCCGGGAAGACGAAGGAATAAGTCCTTCGAAGCCTGAGGGAATAAGTCCCCAGGAACTGACAGAGACATTGAATGTCATAGTCAATAACGGATCATGTGTAGGCGCTTATACACTTGATCTGATTGCGCCTCCGAAGTTAACTTCGGAGATCACTCAGTTGCCAACGCTCGAACATAAAAGATTCTTGCGTGATCTGCGTAGTGGCAAAGTCAAGCAGATCTGCATACTCGTCGCTGAAGACGAGTATGTAACCGGCATAAGGTCAGCAACAGTGTTTACTGAGAACGAGAGAGTTCTCAGTAGTTCATCTATGGACGAGAGTGTCCTAGATGAAAAGACACGAATTGAGCGATATGACTCCCAATCATGGGAATCGCTCAAGACAAATCCTCTCTATGAAGATTTGGTTGAATTCAAGGATGTATTCCCTGAAACTGTTCCGTGCGAATTACCGAAGGATAAAGGTATTCGACACGAGGTCGAGCTTAAACCAGGCTCGAAGTATTGTGTCATGAAGCAGTGGCCACTGCCTCGTGAACAAGTACTTGCGATCGACAAGTTCTTTGCCGATCGTTTAGCTGCGGGCCATGTGAGGGAATCAACTTCCCCACATAGCTCTCCGACCTTCTGTGTGCGAAAAGCAACAGGAGGGTGGCGGATAGTGCACGCGTTTAACAAGTTGAACGCTGCAACGGTACCGGCTCAGACGCCGATACCGAGGAAGGACGTAATCATTGATGGTATGTCAAAGAGTACCATCTTTTCGTCCATGGATTTGATGGATGACTTCTATCAAATCCTTATGCGAGAACGGGATATACCCTATACCGCAGTTAGCACGCCTAGCGGCATGCTCTGGGAATGGCTAGTAATGCCACAAGGGCTCAGTAATGCCCCTGCCACGTTCAACAGGTGTGTATCACATCTGTTGAGGCCAGTACGAGAATTCGCGCCGAGTTATTTCGATGACGTATTCATCCATAGTCGAGCTATGGATGGAAAGTCGGACGTTGAGGTTCACAAGTACCACGTCCGACAAGTTCTTACAAACATGCGAAAGCATCAATTGTATGCAAACCTCAAGAAGTGTATATTTGCAGCAAGCGAAATACCACTTCTTGGGTGCATCGTTGGTAAGAACGGTGTACGTCCTGATCTCGAAAAGATCAAGGCGATCACCGACTGGCCTGTGCCGGTTGACTTCAAAGGTCTTCGAAAATTCCTCGGGATAGCGGCGTTATTGCATTAGTAATCACGCAATTACGCCGAGATGACTGTACACCTCTCTCATTTGTTGAAAAAGAACGAGAGGTGGTTATGGAACGCTGAATGTCAGCGCTCCTTTGAGGGTATCAAGCAGAGCTTGATACAATCCCCATTCCTAGCAATTGCCGATCAGGACAGGCCATTTCATGTGGTCTGTGATGCCAGCGATTTCGCAATCGGCTGCGCATTAATGCAGTACGATCTTGAGGGCGTTGAACGCGTCGTCTGCTATCAGTCGCGTCAGCTGCAACCAGCTGAGCGGAACTATCCAGTGCATGACAAGGAACTCATTGCCATGAAGTATGCACTCGCGAAGTTCAGAGTCTATCTATTAGGAGATAGACCCTTCATTGTTTACACTGACCATGCGTCATTACGCACGGCAGTGAACAGCCCGCACCTTTCACAACGAATGGCGCGGTAGTTGTCATTCTTTGCAGAATACAACTTTACGGTCGAGTACAAACCAGGACGACTTAATGTCGTCGCTGATGCACTCTCACGTCGTCCCGACTTTGAACCAGTCGTGAAACCCAACAGTGAGAAAGTCACTGTTGCGGTTATGACGTCCCCAGTCCCATCTACAACGTTGTATGATGATGTGAGGCGGGCATACGCCCAAGATGGTGAGATTGTGAAGTTGTTGACACATCTCTCCCAACCATCTCGAGAATCGTTGAAACGATTGTCGTCTGCGTATCGATCTGCATCAGATCGATACACTACTCGTAACGGTTTACTGTATTATACAGCCGTTTCTGGTGACACACCACGTGTTGTCATTCCAGATGATACTGATCTGCGTTTGCGGATCATATTCGAGTATCATGATGATCCTACAGGAGGACATCGTGGCCGTGAGAAGACATATCTCACGGTGAGTCGAGACTTTTACTGGCCCCGCCAGTATCAGTTTGTGCGAAAGTATGTTCGCGCATGCGAAGTCTGTCAACGAGTGAAGTCTAGTCCTTCACTGCGTGCACTTTTACAGCCTCTACCGGTTCCGTCTGAGTGCTGGGAATCCATCTCAATGGATTTCGTCTTCGGGTTACCCAAAGACGCACGCGGGAATACGGGTATTCTCGTATTTGTTGACAGATTCAGCAAAATGGTACACCTATTGGCTGTACCAGAGTCAATCACGGCAAGTGGCTGTGCTTGTGTCTTTATTGAGACCATCTTCCGACTTCATGGGTTGCCCCGTGAACTCGTATCAGACAGAGATCCACGATTCACTGCTGATTTCTGGTGTTCCGTGCTCAAATCACTCGGAACGCGCTTGAAGATGTCGACATCTGATCATCCAGAGTCAGATGGTCAGACGGAACGTGCCAATCGTGTCCTTGAAGAGATACTTCGAGGATACGTACACTCCTTTAAGAGTTGGAGTGAGTTTTTGCCAATGGTAGAGTTTGCCATTAACGACTCGGCACATGCGTCCACGACACACACACCGTTTTACGTGAATGGCTTACGCCATCCGCGTGTACCCACATTACTAGAGTGTAACTCTGGTTTAAGGGGGGAGGGACTCGCGCGAGCAAAAACGGTTTGGTTCACGCTCATCACGCTCTGACGAAGAGGTCATTGCGTTTGATGCCGATATCGATAACATCGATATCGAAGAAGACGATGCCAGTGAGAGCGAGGAATCCCTCACTGAAGAAAAGGTTGATGTTGCTGCAGTGCACTCACAGCGCAATGAAGCTAACGAGTCATCAGATGAGTTAATACTGGCTCGTGAAACGGTAGTCCGTTTTGTGCAAGACTCCATCGCCGAAGCGGTGGACAAGCAAAAGCAAAACACTGACAAGAATGGAAGGGCAAACACTCTTTTATTTAATAAAGGTGACTTAGTCCTACTGTCTACGGTTAATCTACCAAAGCATGTAGTGACTAAATTGGATAGCAGTAAACTACTACCCAAGTACATCGGCCCATTTCGTGTATTGCACCGCCTAGGCAATGCATACACGATCGAGTTGCCACGTAAGATGCGAACGCATCCCACGTTTTACGTTGGTCGGCTTAAGCCGTACCATCAGTGCGCCGCTTCTTCCGATGAAGAACGCCCTTGCGCTCAAGCATCTCACAGAGAGCCTTGTGCTCCCGATGGTGGGCATCGACAAGGGTCTGAAGAGCAGTTATCTCATCCCGAGACCGATCAATAATTCCACGAGTTACCCTTAGCTCGTCACGAAGAGATGTCAGAGCTCTCTCGTTCTCAAGCTGAGCAAAGGCAGACTCAGCTCGATGCTTCGAGACAGTGTCCGCCATTTGGAGACGCCTGTCCTGCTCATGTTCGAGATCGCCGCGTAACCCTTGCGTTACGCGATCAAAGAAGCTCTCGGGAACACACGGATCCCCACGATTGTGTGGAGAGCGTCTTCCCTACTCCTCCACCTCCACTGGAGGACTCTCGCGGTGGCCAGCGCTATCTAGTTGAGCAGCTGTTGAACCACCGCGATGTGAACGGACGTCGGACGAGTTATCTCGTCCGGTGGCGCGGCTATCCCCCGTCCTGGGATTCTTGGGAGCCCCGCTCCCAACTGATGATCGACGTACTGGGTCTGGTTGAGCAGTACGACGTGGCACATCCTGTGCCGCAGAAGGACCGCCGGAGAAAGTCTTCCCGGCACGGTCATAAAGGGATTTCAGGTTGTCAATCCCTTCGTACATCTCACTAGAGATACGTACGCGCCACCACGGGCTGGTAAGGAGGTAAGCCTCCTTAGGTGCTCGTGCAGAGTTGTTCACACAACACGGGCACGAGTCTCCCCAAAAGAGGCAGGGTAATCCCTTCTCCTTTGACAGACGATGCAGCTTGTAGCGTGCACCTGTCGGGGTTCGCTTTTCAAACTTATCACGAGCTTTGATATGTTTGTCGTTCCAAACGTCACGACCTCGAGATTATGGATGTAGGCGTTCCACGCTTGAAGTAGTGAGGGACCATCACGTTTGTGATTCCTACTGTACCATCGATGTCTAAAGAAAGCATCGATGAAGAATTCGTTTTCAGCGCGATAGTTTTTTGCGCTGGGGTCAAGGTGATGGATCCTTGACGAATCGAACAACCGTGTTCGATAACGATCACTCGTCGTCGCCGACAAGTGATCCATGACAGATTTAGGAGGCATCCATGCCTTCTTTTCTGGAGCGAGACGCAACACATTGCGGTCCCGCTCTTCCTGCGACGTGCCGACAGAAGGACTGGCACCTCGTTGCGAAGTGGTGTCCATAGGAGAACCGACACCACTGTTAGCGCCCGAGTCTCGCGACCTCGAGCGCCTTCGCTTCGGCGATGGTTCATCTGATTCATCAGATGAACCAAAGATGCTACGACGCATGGCATCATCCATTCCACGCTTGGCAGGCGGCTTGGATTCGATCGCCGTCGATACGGATCCGTCTTCCGTATCAGGAGAGTATGAGACACCGAGCTCATACTCTGTGAAGACATGAGTGTCTTCATGACCAGCGCCTGCATCACCAAGTGACACAGGCTGAGTCGCTTCAGCAACCGATGAGACATCAGTTGCTGTGGTTTCTGCTTCGGCGTCCGCACAGAGACGTGCGGACGCACTCTCGGCGGCCTTGCTCGCGCATCGCATGGGCTTGTTTACCATGCGATGAGATGTTGGAAAGTGGACGCGGACCAACAAGTGCAAACCCTGTCCCAAATGATTTGGGACGAGTATCCATTTAGTCAATCAGTCACTAAAGTGACTGATGGTTAAGGGGGGGGTGATGTAACGGAGTGAATCGTTACATAACAATTTATAAGAAATTGCTAATAGAATATAACTATAAGAGTTATATTCTCAGAATATTGTCATAAGGACAAATATTCTGTAGCACTTACGAGTAGTTCCTAATTGGTTGATATGGGCCATTACATCAACCAACGAAGACGCGCCACGACAGACGCACGCAATGAGTGGTGAGCAGATAACTGATTTACACATTTGTATTTAAACATAGTTAGATGAAGATAAATAGTGATTTATTACAGACATTAACTATTATAAATACAGTTCTACTTTTTACTTTAACCAAGTACTCGCTTCTTCTTACCGTCTTCCTCTGCACGTACGAGTGTACGAGAAGTTCCGAGGCACCGCCTTATTCTGTCATCAGAATAAGTAGCTTATACCGTTACCAGTACAAGCTTCAGGGTGCCCCGTTACAGCCAGCATCGCTTCCTGCAACTGCCCTGCTTGTAAAGCGATATCACCGGTAATCTTTGCGTAGGCCAAAGGAGGTTCAAGTTTTCCTGCTAGATCAAAGACTGCCAACAACAGATTCAGCAAATCGACATCGATATCTGCTATCACCAGAATTCTGCAAGCGATACCCTCAGGTCTGTGTCGTTCGCGACGTAATCGCACGTCCAAGTGACGCATATATGTTGTCGTGTATTCAAAAAATAGGTTTCTTTCAACATCACCCGCACACATTTGTCATCGCCCAACCTCCTTCTTAGCACAGTAGCAAAGTCTGCCTTGTCGTCAAGAAGTCTCTTGTCGAACTCGAGAAATTATATTGTTTCATAGCACCCAACCCTTGATCCCATTAGTCAGAACTTTATCCATCGGTTCACCATAAGTCCGAGCTTTGTCAAAAAGGATGTTAGGGGATGTTCATCGTTCAGCCATCTCATTGGTATCACTTTCAGAAACCTATTTGCTCCAGCGCTAGTGTAACGACTCTGACCACTCACTTTTCTCGATAGAAACAAGCTAATTCTGTAACGGGGCACCCTGAAGCTTGTACTGGTGACAGTACAAGCTACTTATTCTGATAACGGAATAAGGCGGTGCCTCGTAACTTCACGTACACTCGTACGTGCAGAGGAAGACGGTAAGAAGAAGCGAGTACTTGGTTAGAGTAAAAAGTAGAACTGTATTTATAATAGTTAATGTCTGCAATAAATCACTATTTATCTTCATCTAACTATGTCTAAATACAAATGTGTAAATCAGTTATCTGCTCACCACTCATTGCGTGCGTCTGTCGTGGCGCGTCTTCGTTGGTTGATATAATGGCCTATATCAACCAATTAGGAACTACTTGGAAGTGCTACAGAATATTGTCCTTATGACAATATTCTGAGAATATAACTCTTATAGTTATATTCTATTAACAATTTCTTATAAATTGTTATGTAACGATTCACCCCGTTACATCACCCCCCTTAACCATCAGTCACTTTAGTGACTGATTGACTAAATGGATACTCGTCCCAAATCATTTGGGACGGGGTTTGCACTTGTTGGTCCGCGTCCACTTTCCAACATCTCATCGCATGGTAAACAAGCCCATGCGATGCGCGAGCAAGGCCGCCGAGAGCGCGTCTGCACGTCTCTGTGCGGACGCCGAAGCAGAAACTACAGCAACTGATGTCCCATCGGTTGCTGAATCGACTCAGCCTGTATCACCTGGTGATGCAGGCGCTGGTCATGAAGACACTCGTGTCTTCACAGAGTACGAGCTCGGTGTCTCGTACTCTCCTGATACGGATGACGGAGCCGTATCGACGGCAATTGAATCCAAGCCGCCTGCCAAGCGTGGCATGGACGATGCTTTGCGTCGCAGCATCTTTGGTTCATCTGACTCAGTCAGATGAACCATCGCCGAAGCGAAGGCGCTCGAGGTCGCGAGACTCGGGCGCCAATAGTGGTGTCGTTTCTCCAATGGACACCACTTCACAGCGAGGTGCCAGTACTTCTGTCGGCACGTCGCAGGAAGAGCGGGACCGCAATGTGTTGCGTCTCGCTCCAGAAAAGAAGGCATGGATGCCTCCTAAATCTGTCATGGATCACTTGTCGGCGACGACGAGTGATCGTTATCGAACACGATTGTTCGATTCGTCGAGGATTCATCACCTTGACCCCAGCGCGAAAGACTATCGCGCTGAACATGAGTTCTTCATCGATGCTTTCTTCAGACATCGATGGTACAGTGGGAATCACAAACGTGATGGTCCCTCACTACTTCAGGCGTGGAACGCCTACATCCATAATCTCGAGGATGTAGGTCGTGACGCTTGGAACGACAAACTTATCAAAGCTCGTGATAAGTTTGAAAAGCGAACCCCGACAGGTGCACGCTACAAGCTGCATCGTCTGTCAAAGGAGAAAGGATTACCCTGCCTTTCTTGGGGAGACTCGTGCCCATGTTGTGTGAACAACTCTGCACGAGCACCTAAGGAGGCTTACCTCCTTACCAGCCCGTGGTGGCGCGTACGTGTCTCTACTGAGATGTACGAAGGGATTGACAACCTGAAATCCCTTTACGACCGTGCCGGGAAGACTTTCTCCGGCGGTCCTTCTGCGGCACAGGATGTGTCGCGTCGTACTGCTCGACCAGACCCAGTACGTCGATCATCAGTTGGGAGCGGGGCTCCCAAGAATCCCAGGACGGGGGATAGCCGCGCCACCGGACGAGGTAACTCGTCCGACGTCCGTTCACGTCGCGGTGGTTCAACAGCTGCTCTACTAGATAGCGCTGGCCACCGCGAGAGTCCTCTAATGGAGGTGGAGGAGGAGGAAAGACGCTCTCCACACGATCATGTGGATCGGTGTGTTCCCGAGAGCTTCTTTGATCGCGTAACGCAAGGGTTACGCGACGATCTCGAGCATGAGCGGAATAGGCGTCTCCAGATGGTGGACACTGCCTCGAAGCATCGAGCTGAGTTTGCCTTTGCTCAGCTTGAGAACGAGAGATCTCTGACATCTCTTCGTGACGAGCTAAGGGTAGCTCGTGGGATTGTTGATCGGTCTCGGGATGAGATAACTGCTCTTCAGACCCTTGTCGATGCCCACCATCGGGAGCACAAGGCTCTCTGCGAGATGCTTGAGCGCAAGGGCGTTCTTCATCGGAAGAAGCAGCGTACTGATGGTACGGCTTAAGCCGACCAACGTAAAACGTGGGATGCGTTCGCATCTTACGTGGCAACTCGATCGTGTATGCATTGCCTAGGCGGTGCAATACACGAAATGGGCCGATGTACTTGGGTAGTAGTTTACTGCTATCCAATTTAGTCACTACATGCTTTGGTAGATTAACCGTAGACAGTAGGACTAAGTCACCTTTATTAAATAAAAGAGTGTTTGCCCTTCCATTCTTGTCAGTGTTTTGCTTTTGCTTGTCCACCGCTTCGGCGATGGAGTCTTGCACAAAACGGACTACCGTTTCACGAGCCAGTATTAACTCATCTGATGACTCGTTAGCTTCAGTGCGCTGTGAGTGCACTGCAGCAACATCAACCTTTTCTTCAGTGAGGGATTCCCTCGCTCTCACTGGCATCATCTTCTTCGATATCGATGTTATCGATATCGGCATCAAACGCAATGACCTCTTCGTCAGAGCGTGATGAGCGTGAACCAAATCGGTTTTTGCTCGCGCGAGTCCCTCCCCCCTTAAACCAGAGTTACACTCTAGTAAGGTGGGTACACGCGGATGGCGCAAGCCATTCACGTAAAACGGTGTATGTGTCGTGGACGCATGCACCGAGTTGTTGATGGCAAACTCTACCATCGGCAAAAACTCACTCCAACTCTTAAAGGAGTGTACGTATCCTCGAAGTATCTCTTCAAGGACACGATTGGCACGTTCCGTCTGACCATCTGACTCTGGATGATCAGATGTTGACATCTTCAAGCGCGTTCCGAGTGATTTGAACACGGAACGCCAGAAATCAGCAGTGAATCGTGGATCTCTGTCTGATACGAGTTCACGGGGCAACCCATGAAGTCGGAAGATGGTGTCAATAAAGACACAAGCACAGCCACTTGCCGTGATTGACTCTGGTACAGCCACAAGGTGTACCATTTTGCTGAATCTGTCAACAAATACGAGAATACCCGTATTCCCGCGTGCGTCTTTGGGTAACCCGAAGACGAAATCCATTGAGATGGATTCCCAGCACTCAGCCGGAACCGGTAGAGGCTGTAAAGGTGCACGCAGTGAAGGACTTGACTTCACTCGTTGGCAGACTTCGCATGCGCGAACATACTTTCGCACAAACTGATACTGGCGGGGCCAGTAAAAGTCTCGACTTACCGTGAGATATGTTTTCTCTCGGCCACGATGTCCTCCTATAGGAGCATCGTGATACTTCGAACATGATCCGCAAACGCATATCAGTATCATCTGGAATGACAACACGTGGTGTGTCACCAGAAACGGCTGTATAGTACAGTAAACCGTTACGAGTAGTGTATCGATCTGATGCAGATCGATACGCAGACGACAATCGTTTCAACGATTCTCGAGATGGTTGGGAGAGATGTGACAACAACTTCATTATCTCACCATCTTGGGCGTATGCCCGCCTCACATCATCATACAACGTTGTAGATGGAACTGAGGACGTCATAACCGCAACAGTGACTGTCTCACTGTTGGGTTTCGCGACTGTTTCAAAGTCGGGACGACGTGAGAGTGCATCAGCGACGACATTAAGTCGTCCTGGTTTGTACTCGACCGTAAAGTTGTATTCTGCAAAGAATGACAACCACCGCGCCATTCGTTGTGAAAGGTGCGGGCTGTTCACTGCCGTGCGTAAGGACGCATGGTCAGTGTAAACAACGAAGGGTCTATCTCCTAATAGATAGACTCTGAACTTCGCGAGTGCATACTTCATGGCAAGGAGTTCCTTGTCATGCACTGGATAGTTCCGCTCAGCTGGTTGCAGCTGACGCGACTGATAGCAGACGACGCGTTCAACGCCTTCAAGGTCGTACTGCATTAATGCACAGCCGATTGCGAAATCGCTGGCATCACAGACCACATGAAATGGCCTGTCCTGATCGGCTATTGCTAGGACTGGGGATTGTATCAAGCTCTGCTTGATACCCTCAAAGGAGCGTTGACATTCAGCGTTCCATAACCACCTCTCGTTCTTTTTCAACAAACGAGAGAGGTGTACAGTCATCTCGGCGTAATTGCGTGAATACTTATGCAAATACGCCGCTAGCCCAAGGAATTTTCGAAGACCTTTGACATCGACCGGCACGGGCCAGTCGGTGATCGCCTTGATCTTTTCGGGATCAGGACGTACACTGTTCTTACCAACGATGCACCCAAGAAGTGGTATTTCGCTTGCTGCAAATATACACTTCTTGAGGTTTGCATACAATTGATGCTTTCGCATGTTTGTAAGAACTTGTCGGACGTGGTACTTGTGAACCTCAACGTCCGACTTTCCATCCATAGCTCGACTATGGATGAATACGTCATCGAAATAACTCGGCGCGAATTCTCGTATTGGCCTCAACAGATGTGATACACACCTGTTGAACGTGGCAGGGGCATTACTGAGCCCTTGTGGCATTACTAGCCATTCCCAGAGCATGCCGCTAGGCGTGCTAACTGCGGTATAGGGTATATCCCGTTCTCCGCATAAGGATTTGATAGAAGTCATCCATCAAATCCATGGACGAAAAGATGGTACTCTTTGACATACCATCAATGATTACGTCCTTCCTCGGTATCGGCGTCTGAGCCGGTACCGTTGCAGCGTTCAATTTGTTAAACGCGTGCACTATCCGCCACCCTCCTGTTGCTTTTCGCACACAGAAGGTCGGAGAGCTATGTGGGGAAGTTGATTCCCTCACATGGCCCGCAGCTAAACGATCGGCAAAGAACTTGTCGATCGCAAGTACTTGTTCACGAGGCAGTGGCCACTGCTTCATGAAACAGTACTTCGAGCCTGGTTTAAGCTCGACTTCGTGTCGAATACCTTTATCCTTCGGTAATTCGCACGGAACAGTTTCAGGGAATACATCCTTGAATTCAACCAAATCTTCATAGAGAGGATTTTCCCTTGAGCGATTCCCATGATTGGGACTCATATCGCTCAATTCGTGTCTTTTCATCTAGGACACTCTCGTCCATAGATGAACTACTGAGAACTCTCTCGTTCTCAGTAAACACTGTTGCTGACCTTATGTCGGTTACATACTCGTCTTCAGCGACGAGTATGCAGATCTGCTTGACTTTGCCACTACGCAGATCACGCAAGAATCTTTTATGTTCGAGCGTTGGCAACTGAGTGATCTCCGAAGTTAACTTCGGAGGCGCAATCAGATCAAGTGTATAAGCGCCTACACATGATCCGTTATTGACTATGACATTCAATGTCTCTGTCAGTTCCTGGGGACTTATTCCCTCAGGCTTCGAAAGACTTATTCCTTCGTCTTCCCGGGGACTTATTCCCGCGGGTTTCGGGGAACTTATTTCCGCCGTATTTGTAATCTTGGGACTTATTCCCTTTACTTCCTCTAGCTGGGGTTGCGCAACCACAGCGAGATCCTCTACGAAAGACTCTCCAGTCGATCTAGGATTATCGTTTCGCTTAACCTGAGCGATCGATATTTTCTCTTCTAGATGTTCCCCTCTAGGGATACATCTTTGTCCCAGTCCACCCGACTTATTCGAGTGGTGGACCTTCGGCGCAGCCTGTGTTTCCTCACAGCCGCCGGAACTTTGCTCCGAAGTGTAACCGTTTGGTACACTAAGGTTTTGTGCAGTCGTACTAACGACCGTACCACAAGTGAGGCCATCGCACTCACTCGTAGTACATCCACACGCTTGTGGACGCTCCAAAACGTTCATCAGATGGCCATCTGATGAACAAGCGGAAGGCATAGTTACTGTTCGATGTTGCCAGTTTACCCGTGGTTCGTACCTTCTGAGCCACGGTATTCCAAGGATGACATCAAATTTGTCATCCAATTCCAATACGATAAAGTCATCGTCATATTGGGTATCTTCTAGCGTATAGTGGATCTACACTATACGATTCATGACGGTTACGGATGCGCCTGTCGCAAGACGTACCGTCATCCTCGTAGGAGGTGTGTCATATTCACTGAACTTAAAGTGACCATCTTCTAGCGATTGGCGTCGCACAAAATTGTTGGACGCCCCACAATCGACTAGAGCTCGAAGAGACAACTTATTTGTCACTTCGAGTTTCAAGGTAATGAGTGAGATCTCATTACCTAGAGCAGCAACGCACAACGTTTGTGTGTTGGGAGCAACCTTCATCAAGAGGCCTACAAATTCTCTTGACGTTGCTGGACCAGTAGGGTGCTCCGCACCTACTGATCCTGTCCGTTTTTTTGACGGTCCATACCGTTGTTGCGTCTTTGCACCAACAGCGGACCCGCGTCCCTGCCCCTTTCTCATGGGTGGACGGTCACTACGCCCAGTGTCGCGAGACACTGGACGAGGGGCACTACACTCGTAAGCGTAGTGTCCTGTCTTCTGACATCTGTTGCATCTCTGCAACTTCTTGTAGTCTGTAGAGCAAGCCTTCTCGCTCTCTACATAACAGAGTTCCATCGGCTCTGGACCTCCGTTGTCATATCGTCTCGGTTGACGATATGATGTCGAGCTGGCGCGAGCCTGTCTCAGACTGAAGTCTTCCTGCTCCGCAATTGAAATGGCTTGTTCTAGTGAATCTAGTTCAAGCCGGAACAGGTGAGTCTTGACGGGACCATCCGCAAGACCCTGCATGAACACCGAAACCAACGTGTGTTCATCCACCGGATTGGAACTTATACAACTCGTGAGATGTCGTATATGTTGAGCGTAAGCGTGCACATCACGCTTACCCTGCTTGAGCTTCAAGAGTTCGGTTCGAGCTCTGAACTCAGCTCTAGGCGGTTCAAACGTTTGTCTGAGCCGCGACTTGAAGACTTCCAACGACCCAAACGCATATGGGTCGTGCAGCTTGAGCCCCAGTGCCCAAGTCTTGGCACGTCCTGCCAGATTTGACTGGGCAAATGCAACTTGCATATCCCCGTCGTCGATGCGACGCGCCCTTATGGCGTCATCCACTTCGACGAACCATCTCAAGAGGGAGTCTTCTTCGACCCCCTATACTTTGAGATGTCAATCTTCAAAGTCTCGGGCCGACGCGAGTGCATCGACCCACCAGCAGCAGCCTGCTGCTGTCTCAACAGTTCAAACTGTTGAGCACCTTGTTCTCTCAACAACTCTGCTTGTTGAGAACCTTGTTGGTGAAGCAAGGCTACTTTCTCGCGTTCTGCGTCAAGTTCATTTTGAATGAACTTGGCGATAGTAGCATGTTGGGCATCTCTATTGAGAGCCTCTAGCATGACGCTAACAGCATGGATGCCCATGGTCGAACCCATTCGTTCAACCGCATCCCATTCGACATCGCTCAAATGGGAGTAGCCGTCACGCGTAGCGTGAAAGCTTTGGTCATCTTCATCATCCAACATATTCATGTTGGATGTGAACGCGGTCCTTGGACGGACTACGAAGTGCTACCAGGTGTAACGGGGCACCCTGAAGCTTGTACTGGTGACAGTACAAGCTACTTATTCTGATAACGGAATAAGGCGGTGCCTCGTAACTTCACGTACACTCGTACGTGCAGAGGAAGACGGTAAGAAGAAGCGAGTACTTGGTTAGAGTAAAAAGTAGAACTGTATTTATAATAGTTAATGTCTGCAATAAATCACTATTTATCTTCATCTAACTATGTCTAAATACAAATGTGTAAATCAGTTATCTGCTCACCACTCATTGCGTGCGTCTGTCGTGGCACGTCTTCGTTGGTTGATATAATGGCCTATATCAACCAATTAGGAACTACTTGGAAGTGCTACAGAATATTGTCCTTATGACAATATTCTGAGAACATAACTCTTATAGTTATATTCTATTAACAATTTCTTATAAATTGTTATGTAACGATTCACCCCGTTACAAATTCGGCCTCCCCGTTAAGGATGTGTATCAGCGTATCCAGTGAATCACTTGCTCTAATTTCTCCCAGTGAAGCTCGCTGACAAGACGTTTTAGATCGGCAAAGTCAAACTGTTTCATTGATGACTACTCCATCTTGTGAGCCTTTTTTCTCATTTGTTTTTCCTCTGGCTGAAGACCACCAGTCGCCTTTAGTAAATTGCATGGAAGTATAAACAAGTCGACGTGCGACCTCTATCTCTGTATGTCGCAAAATCATTCTTTCCAAGTTATCAGTATGCAGATCCTTGACAAATGACACCACAAGATGGTAGTCATTATCTTGCAATCGGTTCCAGACTTTTTTCGTGATTATGTGCGTGTTTTGGCGGAAAGGCAACGTTTGCACGGCTTTTTCAATAGCTGATTTGCCCTTGTCTTTCATTTTTCCAGACACGAATGAGGCCAAGTTGAAACTCTTTACTCACTATTCGTAGTAATGTACGCAGTCATGACACCTCTGACCAGGACGTTGTTGAGGTCACGGACATCGGAGCGAACACCTGTCAAGGCGTTGACTTCCGTCGTGTTGCGGTCGGTACCACTAGTTGGGGTGTTGAAATTTGGTCGTGTTGAAGTCAACACTATTGTTAGGGGCGTTACATTCCGTCTTGTTAAATTTGGCACTACTGGCCGGAGTGTCGACCTCCAACTTGGATAGACCAGCTTTACTGACCGGATAGCTGACCTCAGTCTTATTGCGGCCAGCAGTACTGGTGGAGACGTTAAAGTAGGTCTTGTTGAGGTTAGCGATACTCGAGACGCACGTCAGTGGCGCAACTGTGCTTAGGAAAACAAGATGGCCTAAGGAGCATCTCCCACGGATGTGCAGTCGGTTCCTGATAACCTAGCAGTGGTCGTAAAATACGAGAACAGGGTCCGCGCCGCAGTGCAATTAACGACTTCGGTCCGGAGAGAGACAGCAAATTGGACACGTACAGTGTTCTACCGGCTTTTTGGAGTAGCCTCAGTCCTCTAGTCAGTGAATCTTGTTTATTCCAGTATCGGCTTCGTACCTGGCCACAATGAGAATTCATCTGGTTAATGTATCTGTGAATACATGTTGTCAAAAGTACTCAAATGAACAGTCGGATCCAGCATTAGCACGCAAGCTTTGGACTGTCTCGTGACAAACTTGCAGACATCCACTTGCGAAAGCGCATTCAACCGCGTTCGAGCTCGTCGTTATGTCGTGACTCGTAGCGATTGCAGCGGATCACCTACATTTACTTGTAAAAATGAACGCATCCAGTATTTTATAAGGCGTATCTCTAGAATAGGCCCTGCAGTAACACTATCTCGGACACAGATTGTTGTTGTGATTTTAGTCCCTGTTCTTCAGTTTACCTGTCTCGACAAGTAGAAATGGCGATTGCTAGGATGTCGAGCCCCTCCTTCAAGTAGCTTACTTACCCAACGGCTTACTTTGATAAGAAGCAGAGGTTGATTCACGGAACAGGCACAAATTGACACACTCCAAGCTTCGTATGGATTGTCCACCGGTCGTTCCGCTGTGTTTTCTGGCTGAAGCTCTAGCTGCAATTGCAGAAGGCATGACCAAATGGTGGACCTCCGCAGTAGTTGCGGCTCAATCGTGGGGCTCGGCTTCCATCATAATCCACCTGCTACAACAGTTGTTGTCGATTGTTTGACTATTCTTTATATTTTGTGCGGAAGTACCTGTTTGCAAAAGTCTGATAAACACTAGGGTGCCAGCAGTGCATTAATCTTTCGTTGCCGGGCTGCAACGGCTGTAAGATAGATGACAATAGTCATAACAAACTTGACTGTTGCGTTGCTACTCACGCTGCTCATTGTAAATCAATGTCGCTGAAGGCGCAACTTTCGTGCTTGTCCTGCTTGGAACGGACCTGTAGGCTTAAACTTCAAATGGTGGTATTGATTCCAGAATGGGCTGCTCATCCTGCTGCACTTTTGCGCTACTTTTCGTTCAGATAGCTTGTCATCGCTGTTAACCATTCCTTCCGTACTTCAAAAGGATTGTCACCTTGTTTCTCAGCACGCAGCTTTATGCCGCTGCATGTCCGACTGTGCGCTGGCTGTAGACCATTCTGCAAGCAGCCTGCTGATCGAATCGTCATCGCATCCGAAAGATTGATCTGGCTCGGGGCCTGAGCACTCGCGTGCGAGGAGAAGAAGCTGTAAAAGCGTTATACAGCCTGTGCTTCGAGACCATAAAACCAACACTGCCTCATGAAAATGGTGATCTAGCCTCCGCAAGTGCTCGGCTATTCAACACGTGCTTTGTCATGTAGCTGGTTCGGTCACATTGCCGTCGTCCGTGCGCAACTGTGACATGATGCTTGGTGGCAACAGCTACGACTGCCACAACCAGCGTTCCGCCACGAGAAGTTAATCAAAGTAGCTCTCGTCAACCAACTATCCCGGTCAGCGTCAACGGTGAACAAGATTACATCCGCTATCACCTCCCCATAAAGAAACTCTCGTAGCAAATACAGTCGATGCTCGGCAAAGTCCAGGAACGTGTTGTTCTGAATATAATTGGAAGCTGTAATCCTTTTACGACTTCCAGCTCCCGCTACTTAGCGATCTCCGTCCTTCGAGCTATCTAGCATGATGCAACGCATGCACCACCCCTGCCTCAATACAGTCTGCGCTTTACTTGCGCTTCTTCTCCTCCCACTTGTACAACCCGTAGCATAGTGCAGCTCCAGTACCCGTTACTACCACAGAATTCCGTACTGCGGACCACTTGCCACCTACCTCCGCACCATACATATCTTGTCATACTTTCCACCCCACCAAATCCTCACACTACATCACGTACGTATCAGAAGCGATGGCAAGCCCACGACGGCAACTACACCTGCTGCCGCCATCTCCGGATGCTCGCGTCGAAAAGCGTTTGCCTTCACCAGCTCTGCACAACAAAATGTAGCATCATCCAGCAATGCACACAATCATGACTTTGAAAGACAATGCAAACAGCTGCAACCACTACGAAACGCTACTGACGCTCTTGAACGCCATCCAGTGCGCTCTTCACAGGCACCAATTGGTCATCCGCGAGCTTCTTGGTCTCTTGCAGCTGCTCTCGGGCCGCGTACAGCTTCACATTCAGTGTTTCGCGCGCGACTCTCACGTGCTTTCGCAGCTCTGTTCCCTCATCTCCATCTGCGCGTTTGTACACGTCCACAACGGGCGCTACCGCGGTCATCGTAGCTGCCCACGCCTGCTGTACCGACTCGTCCAGCGCATGACGAGCTGAGCGCGTGAGCTCCTTCATGTGGTCCACCTCAATATGCAGCACTCCCCGCGCCTGGTGCAAAGGGCTGGACGCTGCGTCTTGCACGGTCTTGGACACCTCAAACTCCAGCTGCTTGGACGCGTCGTCCTCCTCCGGTGTCTTGTCGACGGTCATCGAGAATAGATGATGAGTGAACGTGGTGTGCTGCACACACATTGGGTGAACCACACAGCTCGGGAATACCTTTATTTTTTTCGGATCCTGATCGCTGAAATGAACACAAACGTGCTTGATGTAGTCCACATGACTCCATGACGTCCGCCACATCACTTTGTGACGTCTGCCACACCACTCACAGTCGAGAACGACAAAGACCGAGTCGATGATGAGAGCGGCGGAGACGCAGTGGGCGCGTGCGCTGGCAGTGCTCACCGAGCACGAGTTCCCGTCTTCGAGGGGGCTAGAGACGCGTGTTGATGCGTACTTGCAGCTGGAAGATTTGCAGCGTCTAGAAGACTCGGAGGATTCCGTTACGCAGCTGCGAAAACAGCTGCCGCCTCTTTTGAGCGAGGTGCGCTTTGATTTACAGCAGACGGTACATCGTGACGTGCGACTCGCGGCGCTGAAGTGTCTCTCATACTTTATGCACCATCGGAATCTGGTCTCTGTCTTCTCAGATGAGCACTTGGTGTGTTTCTTTGGGGAATTGATGACGCTATTGTTTACGACACAAGATCAGTACACGTACAAGTTGTGTATCTATTGCCTGACAATGCAAAACGTCTCATCTGAGAGGCACAAGTTCTTGGCGCGCACTGTTGAAGCGCTGGTGCAGGCGGTGGTGAACCCGTTTAAATCGCGTGCAAGTACGTGGGTTGAAGAGGGAATATGAGGGAACAAAGACGAGAGTAATGTAGAGACTTGGTGTTTTATTGTGCTCGTAAGTTGAAGTGCAGGCACTGAAAGGACTTCATTTGCTTTTGGTGAAGTACCCTGATCAACTTGGCACGGATGGGACGATCTTGAGTATTTATGTACGTCCCGTTACCAGTCGACTATCGAGTCGCGAGACGTCGACGAGAACACAAGCGCGACTGGTGCTCGAAGAAATGAGCAAACACGCGGCAAATTGGACACACGAGACGCTGAACATGGCGCAGGACTGTATGGAGGAGTATGTGCTGCCTGTAATGAAGTCGCACATAGATTGTCGTCGTCTGAAGGACGCGGTGTGTCTATGGAAATTGATTTTGGTGTTGCTGAGGTCAAGATTTTCCTGTGATTTAGGAAAGCTGAACCAGGTTTTATACGTTGCCGAGAAATGTATGGAAGATAAAAATGCAACTGTCCGTTTGATGGCTATGCAGGCGTGGGCTCTAGTTGTGGACGTGGTCCATGATCACCAGAACTGGCTATTTAATAAGACCGTCGTGAGTTTACTAGTGTGGCCTGTAAAGCTGTGTGTTGAGCAGGAACGGTTGTTGAACATTGTGGATACTGCGTTTTTGTTATGGAGAAAGATGGTAAGCATCGCAGTTCAAGACTTTAACGTCTTTTGCAAAGCTCAAAAGCAGCATGTTGGGGCAGGATTACAGCGATGTGTGCCTGAATGGAAATTCTGGTACAGTGAACTTGTTATCAGTCCTTTGCTTACGCTGATAGTACGGAGCAAATACAGTGGATCTACCCAGATTGAGCTGAAGCAGTTTATCGACTTTGCAAAAGACATGTGGGAGCCTGAGGTGCCGCGATCTGGCAAAAGAGAGTCTGAAGTGACGGGATCTGGTAAAAGCAGAGAAGGTCTATTCGAAAGTAATTGTACCGCTACGCTGGATGGGTCTTCTGTGGAAGCTAGAGTGGTTGTTAAGCGTCCCGAGACGAGTCCTGTAGCGGATCATAATGTTACTCGTTTTCGCATCACGTTGGAGTTGCTTGGTGTCGCCCTCTTGCTTAAGGACGTTTTCGGTGTTGTCCTGAGCCTGATTGAAATAGCCAATAAAAGTTATGGAGAACTTATTACGAGGTACGCACATGACCTGGCGATGACTACATGGAAGGGGTTGTGCCATCGTATGTTCTCCAACAGCACCCGCGACGGAGCTCTGTCAGCGTCAAACTTGGGCTTGCGCCTTGTGCGGCAGTCAATCGAATTTTCGTTTGGTTTACACGCATGCCCGGCACTTGCAGCGAAGCCTGAGCAATCCGCCGCGCCAGTTGAACGTATAGGTGGGAAGGTTGACCGTCCAGACGACGCGGTGGCTGTTGTTACGTCGACGGAACTCGGCTTGGTGTGGAAACTGCAGTTGCTCACTCCGCTTTTATCATCTATTGCATTTCCAGGAGATTTGCAAGCTGTGGTGCTTCACCCAAAGTGCAAATTATTCGATCATATCACTCAGCGGATGCACTATCTTGAACAAAGATACGTTCAGTGTGCGACTGTGTTAGAGAAATGGCGTGGGAGAAAGCCTAGCGACCTACAAATTGACTTTTCTGCCAGACCAAACTTGCTTACATACCTGGTGATAAATTTACTTTTCGAGTACGCCATACATGTCGGTGACACGGGTTGCGATCATGTAGGTGAAAGAGAATCTGTGTTGAAATCTCTGGATGCTGTCCTACGAAAACTTATGGAATGTATACAGCTAAATAGCCAGGTGGAGACTCACAAGCTAAACGCGTTAGTACATTTTGTCGAGGCTAGCATCGCTGTAGCTTATAAGCATTTCGGCGATGGTAACGGTTGCAGTGTGAAGAGGAGCATGTTGGACGAATTGGCAAGTGTTTGCACGAACTTGACGGACGACGCTGGCGAAAGTCGACCCAGTGTGTCACCAGCGCTCGACTTGCACGGTTCTCGTGGCACTTCTGGCATTGTCGTATTCACGACCGCCAGTACGGCTGGTATTCCAAGCGATGGGTCTGACGCAGAAGAAAAGTGTGCTAACAGTGCTCCACACGGGGCTGAGTGTTTGCCAGGATTGTTCGATACCAACACCTCCTCGCTGTGCCTTCTTGGCGGAGAGCTTTCGAATATGCTGAGTGCAAACCTCGGTGGTCATACCGCAACCTCTTTAACTGATGGCCGAAAGCAGGCTCAACGAAATTCTCAGCGAAGCAGAAGTCACAGATCTGATGAAAGTACTGGCTCTGATAGCGCTTTGATAGTTTCGCGAACAGGCGGAGATGTTCATCGAAATAATGGTGAGACTCCTGGTGCGAAGTATTCGCAGGTGCAGCCCATCAGGTCTCAATCCGCTTCAATGATGCTGCTAAATGAGCGAACGAATCGCCCGATAGTTCTTGACGTGTCACAGTGTTTATACCCCGACCTAATTGGATGCAAGAAAGGGATCTCATTATTGTATGAGCATTTGCCGAGGGCGTTCAGGCCATTTTTTTCGTTGTGCGAAGTCAAAACGGTTGGTGATTTGAGTGCTTTGTCGGTGGAAAAGGTAGAAAGTTTCGGTCTTGATAAGCCAGTGAGCACCCTTTGGCGGGCGCTTGAAAACTTTAATGGACGTAAAGAATGCACGACGTTCATGTCGAGTAGTACATTCCAAAAGCGAAGCGTTTCGACCGCTGAAGGCCCGGCAATTCTTGCGCCATGTTTGCACAAAACAGCCAAGCGCCGGTTTGAAAGTGAAGGTATCGTCTCTCTTGATTCCGAGAAGAGTAAGCGCACGAAGTCGTCATCGCTTTTGGAAGCCAGGCATCGTGGAGTAGAGCCAGCGAGCGAAGGTCGTGGACAAACCCTGAAATTAGCCAACAAAATTACGCTTGACTTTCAAACCGGTAGCACCGGTGGGACACAAATCGCCTGTCCTGGGGATGGCTCACCGGATAGGTTGGACGCTACTGATGAAAACGGTGAAAGCGGAAATGCACAAGAGAAAATGAGTATGTGTACGCTCAAGTTGCTGCAGCATTTACGGAGATCGGGGTCGTACATGGATAAGCTCATTGCCGAAGAGCAGAGTGTGCAAAGTGAAGAGGCAAGTTTGACGACCGATATCGCAGCTGTTGGTGATGTACTTGCGAATTACCACGAAGCCCATGCGTTGGTGTCTCGACTCGCATTACAACTTCAAACAGTCGCTGAAGCAAGCTCCAAGCGATGCCGTAGACTACTGGACAAGTGTAAACCAACGTGAGCCCGCCAGCACAGTTTACAAGGATTAACGGAATTGAAAAAATGATCAATCATAGGACGTTACCGAGTTTGAGAACCGCTAGATATGCCGGTGTGCGTCATGACAGCCGATCCGATTCGCGTGATTGTTACTAGTATGGAGCAGCTAGCTGTTGGTAGATAGCAAATTCACTCGATTTGTGCTACTTCATGACTGGAGTTGAGCGCCCGACACCGCAGTTGTAACCACATCGTTCGAGTGGATCATCGAAGTTCCCCACTTCGATTCGGACGCAACACTATCGAATCCTGTTGAACACGACATGTCCGTCCTTCTGAGCAATCATCGCGACCTTCAGTTTGCCTTCGTCTCAATCGGATCGTTCTCATAAAGCGCCAAAACGAGAGTCTGCGTCGCCCCAACTAGGGCGAGCTAATGGCACAAACCTCGACATTTGAGCACGTCGAGGTCTTGTCACTTGTGTTAACAAAGCAAAGGGACGTCATACTAGCATCTGGTTGAAAGGTCTCCTCGTCTCCACTATTGCGAGAGAAAAGACATTTGTCGTCTTTGACATTTGTTCATGGTAAGCGCTGCCTTTACCAAACGAGCAAAGCACTCGACAAGGTCGCTTTTGTGACAACCTGTGACAACTTATCTTGTGAACCGTCACACGGTTTGTCAATGAGGACGAGGTAGGTGTGATGTAAGCTACCTTCAAGCAACATGCAACCGATTCACACTTGCGCGGTCAATCACATTAGCCTTTCGACCGTGAAGATATGGCGATCCGCGAGCACTATGTGTTGTATTCGTATTGGCGCAGTAGCTGCTCATGGCGTGTACGTATCGCCTTGGAATGGAAGAGCATTCCATTCGAATACCGCACGGTGCACCTTCTGAAGGGCGGCGGCGAGCAGTTCCAGGACGAGTATACGGCGCTCAACGCGAATCAGGTTGCACTCAGCACTCAGATCTGCTCCTGACTCATTGTTTACTAACGCCAACATGACTGTCGCTGTGGATGATGCTGTAGCGTTTGCCGACACTCGTGATGGACGGCCACGTCTTGTCACAATCCGGTGCTATCCTCGAGTTTCTGGAGGAGACGCACCCAGAACAGCCACTGCTGCCAAGTGACCCCTTTGCTCGTGCACAGGTGCGCAACTTGTGCGCTATCATTGGCTGCGACGTCCAGCCGATTCAGAACTTGGCCGTGCAGCTCAAGGTGCGTCACTGTAAGGGCCTGTTTTAAACTTCTTTTTCTGAAGCTTCTTGTGAATGGCAAACCCGTAGGCGACTGAGGACCTCCCGGAGGAACTTCGAGCTGCTAAGAAACAGCAGTGGTCACACTTCTGGATTGAGCGAGGATTCCAAGCTCTCGAGGCCGAGTTGGTTAAGACTGCTGGCACGTTCTGCTTTGGAGACAAAGTCACACTTGCTGATCTGTACCTGCAGCCGCAAGTTTACAACGCCAATCGAGTCGGCGTGGATATGGCAAAGTACCCGACCATTGCTCGTATCACTGCAGAACTGGAAGCCATACCAGCGTTCCAGAGAGCTCATCCGTCCCAGCAACCTGATGCTGCTGAATGATTGGAGGAACAGCAACTGTCTGTTAGGTTCTTGTTACGAAGAAAAGGTAGCGCGCGTAGCCATTTTCTATTGATTTTGATTGAGGCAGCGTATCTTTTCCTTGACTGCTTTCCGGTGCCTTTTGATAGCACGAACTTGTTGCTTGTCTACTTGGCTTTGGCCTTTCTCGAGCGCAAGCGCGACGTCCATTTCCTTTTTCAGCTTCACGTATTGCTCGTGTGATAAGCTGCCACCGAAGGGAGAGCTCAATAGCAAGTCAGCGTCAACACTGCTCCGAACGGTGCGAAGCGTTTCCGCAAAGTGGTGTATGCAGCGTTGGCGGCGGTAATGGAACCACGGCTCAAAGTGGGCGGATTTGACGAATGCTGTGTACAGAGCCTTCCACTTGGTTTGTTTAATCTGCGGTGGCAGATTGCACGGCTTTATACTTTCAAGCAATCCCGGTAGACTAAACGGCTTCATGTAATCCTCCGCGCTCATGTATAGATTTGAGCGCATTTCGCTTGGTTTCCAAATACCGAAGTATTGCTCAAACGGATGCAAAAAGTCTTTTGTGAGCTTCCGAAAGTGCTGCATTATCCATTGGAGCGGCGCTTGCATTAGTAACACTACTTATATTCGCATAAGCATGAAGCAATGAGGTAGACCTCACCTTTCGCAGCACTGCATTGTTAATTGTAACGTACGCCTCCTCTTCGTGGGTGGTAGTCGGTTTGATGTGAACATCCGGCGGTGAAACAAGTTGGTGAAGGACCTTAACATCCGAGACCGTATACCTGGAGCAACGTCGCAGAAGCTGAGATCATAGATAGTTAGACATCAGTATGTCGGAGACTGAGGTAAGAATTCGCAGGCTCACCATAGGCCGATGACAGTTCCCAAAATCATCGAGCTGCACACCCTTTTGAATGCGTAGACAAACTGCGCCAGTCGCCTCCGCTTCCGTGGCGTTTTGACCTATCGTGACACCAGTAGATCCATAATAATGTTCGCCAGACACAATGTCCACAAATCTCCATCATTTTTTACCTTTTTCCGCTTGTGGTTTGGTACTCGGTGGCTCCAAAAATGGAAAGATTAAAGCGTTTGGCCAACGACTTAATGACTGCGCCAGCGACAGCACCAGTGGGTAACTTGACGCAAAATCAAAGAGCTAAGCACTGTCAGTACCTTCATGAAGAACGGATTTGTGGTTCCTATGATAGTCACGTCGTTTGGGTTGCTTACACCTCTATTTTGCCTACTTGAGAGCATCTGCACGTTGTCAATACAGCTATCAGTGTTCACGTAGCATAACGATCTGTGAGCATGAAACAAGCACTTACATCAAAATCTGCCTCGTAAACAGTGTAGTATGGCCGACAGTCGCCACGGAACTGAAGCGGCGCAATCAAACTGGAACCATGCACGATAACCAGTTAAAAGACTAATGCAATAATATGGTCAGAAAAGATAGGATTAAAACCTAGTAAAAGCGAGAACGGCTTGACTGCACGTTCTCGCGTGTGGAGATAGAATCAAGAGACTCTCCCCAGTAATGGCGAGCTGCCACAGAAGCCATAGCGATTCCACCTGACCAACAAAACTTGAATACAGTCCGACATTCTATGACACAAGAGAGAAAAATACGACACACTGTCAAGAGTGGTTCGCTGCAACAGACCATCGAAGCGTACCTCATACGGAGTCGAATGGTATGTCCGCTTTGAAAGCAAAAGATCTCCGAACGATGGCGATGGAGGCGGTCGCCTCCGTGATACCACAAACTCGCCCCCTTTGACAAGAACGGACTCCTCAGTATCGTCATTGTCGTCGCCCTCGTCTACTTTTCCAACATTCTCCGAATCCGGCGAGTCTGTAGCCTCGTCGTCTTCTTCGACCATAAAATGCGAGTGCAGCGGTGAATCTGCATATGGCTCGTATGCTGCTTCAATGTGTTCGTAACGTAGCAGCCTCGGGATAATACAGGATACATAGATCCCAGCAAGTGGCAGCACCACAGGTGAGTCATGCACAACTGCCGGCCTACGCAGCATTAGTAGTGTACAAAAACAACGGTCAGCATCTAGATGACCACATCTTTGCACAGCTTCTAGGCACTTCATACCAGGACTCGATATTGTGATACACTGCTGCTAAAACCTGCGGTCCGACCTTGAAAAAGAGCGGCCCAATCACCCGCAGCACGCGGTCGTAGAGATCCACATAAGGCTTTGTGCTTACGAGCACCAGAGCTTTCTGGAAGTACCCGCGCGTGCGTGACTCGTCTTTCTGCTGACGGAAGAGCACGAAACCGAACAAGAGCTCGCGCCTATTGCAAGCACAAACATCCCAACAAAAATTCCAATGAGCTCAAAGAACAAGCACTTGAGGGAGTTTACGTAGTAGCTGACGGACTCTTCAGGGCCGTCACGGAAGTGCACAATATACTGCGTGTCTCCCTCGTCCTGATTGTTGCAATGGGGCAGCGACAAATGCGCTAAACTCGTTTTCGCAGCTTCCGGGAGGCTGCAAGAAGATGGATACAACGCGTCCAGTTTCTGTCCTGCGTCGATGTCGAAGACCACGGTCGCTAGCGCTCGTAGGCCGTAGGTGGAGGCCACATCCTGGTCGTCAACGTCAGCTTTGGTTTGCATTGGCGACTCCATGAGCTGCAAATCGTGCGACGTCAAGGAACGGAGCGGGTGGGTACAACAACAATCTGCTGCTGTGTGAAGAAACGCGGGCGCAACGAAACGAAACGCTTTTTGTATAAAGGTAATTTATGCGTCGCGTTAACAATTTTCGAAATATGGCTGGGATTGTATTGTTATCCGGGATGAGACAAAATCATTATCCTGAAATCTGTAGCAGCAACAGACCTGCTGGAAGGTGTCGATCACGATCAGCAAGAAGTCGGTCATTTTTAGATGAGGAAATTACTGCTTCTTGCGTTTCCAACGGGTTATACAATCCTGGACCGTAAAGGTGGTGCCGGGAATCATCGTGGTGCGATAAAATGAGGTGGTTGCACTAGGTCATAAAGATGTAGTTGTGTTCGCTCCGTCGATGCCACTTTACCACATCGCTGCTCATCCTAAACCTTGGAACCACTTCTGCCTCATCACAGTGTTGCCTGAGCTGCCCAGTCTCGATGGGACCAATCGATTGCACGTAAAAGTTGCATCTTCCGATGACGTAGTTTAGTGAGGTTGCATCCAACACAAGCTTTTAGACACTCAGCGATTATTTGGCGATTACTTTACTAGTAAAAGTCCTCGCCAATAACAGATAACTTGTCTAACAAATTTACACCTCCAGTCCTTGTTTGCGCTGAAGCTGGTCTCCGACAATTCTCTCCACGTATTGTGATAGCTCGAAACCTCAAACGTCTTGGCAAGTGTACTGATGCACTGAACAACGTGTAGCTTACTTTGCACCAGTCGAGGAAGAGAAAACGTGGAGGTGGTCTGGTGGTCTAGATCGAAATTCAGCCATCTCTTCGCACGTGTGTCCCTTTTTAGTGCAACTTGACAGCCTACGCACTATGCGTGCATTCTTTCCTTGAGTTCAAAATTCTAAGCATTCTATTTTACCGGATGTAGCTCTGGAAAAACGAGTTCAATAGTCTAGCGGAAGAAGAAACTTATCTATTGCTGTGGTGATTAATTTGATGCGACTCAATTTATTTGATCCAAAAGCGCACAGAATGAACGCCACTTCTCCAATGAACTAAAAACACACACGACAAGACCGAAAACCAACCTGAACATTCTTAATGTCAGACCGTTGACAACGGGATCTAACTGTATGCTCTTGGATAGCTTTAGAAATGCCTGAAGGTGTAACAAGACAATATTCACTAGTACTGTTTCAGTACTAATGCGATTTCGCTGACAACAGTGTAGGTAGTGCTGCGCGTCACTCCAAGTACACCGTCCATGCGGAGGAAGGCTAGCTAATCAGCGGAGCACTCACTAGAAGTAGTAAGTAAAGCTGTATTTAATATGAATAGGTCCTAACTACGCGTACCTATGTTTACTCCTAACTTAATTGTCATCTACAAAGTGTATGCCTTAAACTTGCTTACCACTCATCGCGCGCATCCATCATTTATTGTACCGCTAGAGCTGGCTGATATGATGGCTGTAACGGGGTGAATCGTTACATAACAATTTATAAGAAATTTTTAATAGAATATAACTATAAGAGTTATATTCTCAGAATATTGTCATAAGGACAAATATTCTGTAGCACTTACGAGTAGTTCCTAATTGGTTGATATAGGCCATTACATCAACCAACGAAGACGCGCCACGACAGACGCACGCAATGAGTGATGAGCAGATAGTTGGTTTACACATTTGTATTTAGACTTAGTTAGATGAAGATAAATAGTGATTTATTGCAGACATTAACTATTATAAATACAGTTCTACTTTTTACTTTAACCAGGTACTCGCTTCTTCTTACCGTCTTCCTCTGCACGTACGAGTGTACGTGAAGTTACGAGGCACCGCCTTATTCTGTCATCAGAATAAGTAGCTTGTATTGTCACCAGTACAAGCTTCAGGGTGCCCCGTTACACCTGGTAGCACTTCGTAGTCCGTCCAAGGACCGCGTTCACATCCAACATGAATATGTTGAATGATGAAGATGACCAAAGCTTTCACGCTACGCGTGACGGCTACTCCCATTTGAGCGATGTCGAATGGGATGCGGTTGAACGAATGGGTTCAACCATGGGCATCCATGCTGTTAGCGTCATGCTAGAGGCTCTCAATAGAGATGCCCAACATGCTACTATCGCCAAGTTCATTCAAAATGAACTTGACGCAGAACGCGAGAAAGTAGCCTTGCTTCACCAACAAGGTTCTCAACAAGCAGAGTTGTTGAGAGAACAAGGTGCTCAACAGTTTGAACTGTTGAGACAGCAGCAGGCTGCTGCTGGCGGGTCGATGCACTCGCGTCGACCCGAGACTTTGAAGATTGACATCTCCAAGTATAGGGGAGTCGAAGAGAACTCCCTCTTGAGATGGTTCGTCGAATTGGATGACGCCATAAGGGCGCGTCGCATCGACGGTGGGGATATGCAAGTTGCATTTGCCCAGTCAAATCTGGCAGGACGTGCCAAGACTTGGGCACTGGGGCTCAAGTTGCACGACCCATATGCGTTTGGGTCGTTGGAAGTCTTTAAGTCGCGGCTCAGACAAACGTTTGAACCGCCTAGAGCTGAGTTCAGAGCTCGAACCGAACTCTTGAAGCTCAAGCAGGGTAAGCGTGATGTGCACGCTTACGCTCAACATATACGACATCTCACGAGTTGTAAAAGTTCCAATCCGGTGGATGAACACACGTTGGTTTCGGTGTTCATGCAGAGTCTTGCGGATGGTCCCGTCAAGACTCACCTGTTCCGGCTTGAACTAGATTCACTAGAACAAGCCATTTCCATTGCGGAGCAGGAAGACTTCAGTCTGAGACAGGCTCGCGCCAGCTCGACATCATATCGTCAACCGAGACGATATGACAACGGAGGTCCAGAGCCGATGGAACTCTGTTATGTAGAGAGCGAGAAGGCTCGCTCTACAGGCTACAAGAAGTTGCAGAGATGCAACAGATGTCAAAAGACAGGACACTACGCTTACGAGTGTAGTGCCCCTCGTCCAGTGTCTCGCGACACTGGGCGTAATGACCGTCCACCCATGAGAAAGGGGCAGGGACGAGGGTCCGCTGTTGGTGCAAAGACGCACAACGGGATGGACCGTCAAAAAACGGACAGGATCAGTAGGTGCGGAGCACCCTACTGGTCCATCAACGTCAAGAGAATTTGTAGGCCTCTTGATGAAGGTTGCTCCCAACACACAAACGTTGTGCGTTGCTGCTCTAGGTAATGAGATCTCACTCATTACCTTGAAACTCGAAGTGACGAATAAGTTGTCCCTTCGAGCTCTAGTCGATTGTGGGGCGTCCAACAATTTTGTGCGACGCCAATCGCTAGAAGATGGTCACTTTAAGTTCAGTGAATATGACACACCTCCTACGAGGATGATGGTCCGTCTCGCGACAGGCGCATCCGTAACCGTCCTGAAGCGTATAGTGAAGATCCACTATACGCTAGAAGATACCCAATATGACGATGACTTTATCGTATTGGATTTGGATGACAAATTTGATGTCATACTTGGAATACCGTGGCTCAGAAGGTACGAACCACGGGTAAACTGGCAACATCGGACAGTAACGATGCCTGCCGCTTGTTCATCAAATGACCATCTGGTGAACGTTTTGGAGCGTCCACAAGCCTGTGGATGTACTACGAGTGAGTGCGATGGCCTCACTTGTGGTACGGTCGTTATTACGACTGCACAAAACCTTAGTGTACCAAACGGTTACACTTCGGAGCAAAGTTCCGGCGGCTGTGAAGAAACACAGGCTGCGCCGAAGGCCCACCACTCGAATAATTCGAGTGGACTGGGATAAAGATGCATCCCTAGCGAAAAGCATCTAGAAGAGAAACAATCGATCGCTCAGGTTAAGCGAAACGATAATCCTAGATCGACTGGAGAGTCTTTCGTAAAGGATCTCGCTGTGGTTGCGCAACCCCAGCTAGAGGAAGTAAAGGGAATAAGTCCCAAGATTACAAATACGGCGGAAATAAGTTCCCCGAAACCCGCGGGAATAAGTCCCCGGCAAGCCGAAGGAATAAGTCCTTCGAGGCCTCAGGGAATAAGTCCCCAGGAACTGACAGAGACATTGAATGTCATAGTCAATAACGGATCAAGTGTAGGCGCTTATACACTTGATCTGATTGCGCCTCCGAATTTGACTTCGGAGATCACTCAGTTGCCAACGCTCGAACATAAAAGGTTCTTGCGTGATCTGCGTAGTGGCAAAGTCAGTCAGTCAAGCAGATCTGCGTACTCGTCGCTGACGACGAGTGTGTGGCCGGCATAAGGTCAGCAACAGTGTTTACTGAGAACGAGAGAGTTCTCAGTAGTTCATCTATGGACGAGAGTGTCCTAGATGAAAAGACACGAATTGAGCGATATGACTCCCAATCATGGGAATCGCTCAAGACAAATCCTCTCTATGAAGATTTGGTTGAATTCAAGGATGTATTCCCTGAAACTGTTCCGTGATAATTACCGAAGGATAAAGGTATTCGACACGAGGTCGAGCTTAAACCAGGCTCGAAGTACTGTGTCATGAAGCAGTGGTCACTGCCTCGTGAACAAGTACTTGCGATCGACAAGTTCTTTGCCGATCGTTTAGCTGCGGGCCATGTGAGGGAATCAACTTCCCCACATAGCTCTCCGACCTTCTGTGTGCGAAAAGCAACAGGAGGGTGGCGGATAGTGCACGTGTTCAACAAATTGAACGCTGCAACGGTACCGGCTCGGACGCCGATACCGAGGAAGGACGTAATCATTGATGGCATGTCAAAGAGTACCATCTTTTCGTCCATGGATTTGATGGATGACTTCTATCAAATCCTAATGCGGGAACGGGATATACCCTATACCGCAGTTAGCACGCCTAGCGGCATGCTCTGGGAATGGCTAGTAATGCCACAAGGGCTTAGTAATGCCCCTGCCATGTTCAACAGATGTGTATCACATCTGTTGAGGCCAGTACGAGAATTCGCGCCGAGTTATTTCGATGACGTATTCATCCATAGTCGAGCTATGGATGGAAAGTCGGACGTTGAGGTTCACAGATACCACGTCCGACAGGTTCTTACAATCATGCGAAAGCATCAATTGTATGCAAACCTCAAGAAGTGTATATTTGCAGCAAGCGAAATACCACTTCTTGGGTGCATCGTTGGTAAGAACGGTGTACGTCCTGATCCCGAAAAGATCAAGGCGATCACCGACTGGCCTGTGCCGGTGGATGTCAAAGGTCTTCGAAAATTCCTTGGGCTAGCGGCGTATTTGCATAAGTATTCACGCAATTACGCCGAGATGACTGTACACCTCTCTCGTTTGTTGAAAAAGAACGAGAGGTGGTTATGGAACGCTGAATGTCAGCGCTCCTTTAAAGGTATCAAGCAGAGCTTGATACAATCCCCAGTCCTAGCAATAGCCGATCAGGACAGGCCATTTCATGTGGTCTGTGATGCCAGCGATTTCGCAATCGGCTGTGCATTAATGCAGTACGATCTTGAGGGCGTTGAACGCGTCGTCTGCTATCAGTCGCGTCAGCTGCAACCAGCTGAGCGGAACTATCCAGTGCATGACAAGGAACTCCTTGCCATGAAGTATGCACTCGCGAAGTTCAGAGTCTATCTATTAGGAGATAGACCCTTCATTGTTTACACTGACCATGCGTCATTACGCACGGCAGTGAACAGCCCGCACCTTTCACAACGAATGGCGCGGTGGTTGTCATTCTTTGCAGAATACAACTTTACGGTCGAGTACAAACCAGGACGACTTAATGTCGTCGCTGATGCACTCTCACGTCGTCCCGACTTTGAAACAGTCGCGAAACCCAACAGTGAGACAGTCACTGTTGCGGTTATGACGTCCTCAGTTCCATCTACAACGTTGTATGATGATGTGAGGCGGGCATACGCCCAAGATGGTGAGATTGTGAAGTTGTTGACACATCTCTCCCAACCATCTCGAGAATCGTTGAAACGATTGTCGCCTGCGTATCGATCTGCATCAGATCGATACACTACTCGTAACGGTTTACTGTATTATACAGCCGTTTCTGGTGACACACCACGTGTTGTCATTCCAGATGATACTGATCTGCGTTTGCGGATCATATTCGAGTATCACGATGCTCCTATAGGAGGACATCGTGGCCGAGAGAAAACATATCTCACGGTAAGTCGAGACTGATACTGGCACCGACAGTATCAGTTTGTGCGAAAGTATGTTCGCGCATGCGAAGTCTGTCAACGAGTGAAGTCAAGTCCTTCACTGCGTGCACCTTTACAGCATCTACCGGTTCCGGCTGAGTGCTGGGAATCCATCTCAATGGATTTTGTCTTCGGGTTACCCAAAGACGCACGCGGGAATACGGGTATTCTCGTATTTGTTGACAGATTCAGCAAAATGGTACACCTCGTGGCTGTATCAGAGACAATCACGGCAAGTGGCTGTGCTTGTGTCTTTATTGACACCATCTTCCGACTTCATGGGTTGCCCCGTGAACTCGTATCAGACAGAGATCCACGATTCACTGCTGATTTCTGGCGTTCCGTGGGTAAAATCACTCGGAACGCGCTTGAAGATGTCGACATCTGATCATCCAGAGTCAGATGGTCAGACGGAACGAGCCAATCGTGTCCTTGAAGAGATACTTCGAGGATACGTCCACTCCTTTAAGAGTTGGAGTGAGTTTTTGCCAATGGTAGAGTTTGCCATTAACAACTCGGTGCATGCGTCCACGACACATACACCGTTTTACGTGAATGGCTTGCGCCATCCGCGTGTACCCACCTTACTAGAGTGTAACTCTGGTTTAAGGGGGGGAGGGACTCGCGCGAGCAAAAACGGTTTGGTTCACGCTCATCACGCTCTGACGAAGAGGTCATTGCGTTTGATGCCGATATCGATAACATCGATATCGAAGAAGATGATGCCAGTGAGAGTGCGGAAGCCCTCACTGAAGTAGATGATCCCAGTGAGAGCGAGGAATCCCTCACTGAAGAAAAGGTTGATGTTGCTGCAGTGCGCTCACAGCGCACTGAAGCTAACGAGTCATCAGATGAGTTCATACTGGTTCGTGAAACGGTAGTCCGTTTTGTGCAAGACTCCATCGCCGAAGCGGTGGATAAGCAAAAGCAAAACGCTGACAAGAATGGAAGGGCAAACACTCTTTTATTTAATAAAGGTGACTTAGTCCTACTGTCTACGGTTAATCTACCAAAGCATGTAGTGACTAACTTGGGTAGCAGTAAACTACTACCCAAGTACATTGGCCCATTTCGTGTATTGCACCGCCTAGGCAATGCATACACGATCGAGTTACCACGTAAGATGCGAACGCATCCCACGTTTTACGTTGGTCGGCTTAAGCCGTACCATCAGTACGCTGCTTCTTCCGATGAAGAACGCCCTTGCGCTCAAGCATCTCGCAGAGAGCCTTGTGCTCCCGATGGTGGGCATCAACAAGGGTCTGAAGAGCAGCTATCTCATCCCGAGACAGATCTACAATCCCACGAGCTACCCTTAGCTCGTCACGAAGAGATGTCAGAGATCTCTCGTTCTCAAGCTGAGCAAAGGCAAACTCAGCTCGATGCTTCAAGGCAGTGTCCGCCATTTGGAGACGCCTATTCCGCTCATGTTCGAGATCGTCGCGTAACCCTTGCGTTACGCGATCAAAGAAGCTCTCGGGAACACACCGATCCCCATGATCGTGTGGAGAGCGTCTTTCCTCCTCCTCCACCTCCATTAGAGGACTCTCGCGGTGGCCAGCGCTATCTAGTTGAGCAGCTGTTGAACCACTGCGACGTGAACGGACGTCGGACGAGTTATCTCGTCCGGTGGCGCGGCTATCCCCCGTCCTGGGATTCTTGGGAGCCCGCTCCCAACAGATGATCGACGTACTGGGTCTGGTTGAGCAGTACGACGCGGCACATCCTGTGCCGCAGAAGGACCGACGGAGAAATTCTTCCCGGCACGGTCGTAAAGGGATTTCAGATTGTCAATCCCTTCGTACATCTCAGTAGAGATACGTACGCGCCACCACGGGCTATTAGGGAGGTAAGCCTCCTTAGGTGCTCGTGCAGAGTTGTTCACACAACACGGGCACGAGTCTCCCCAAAAGAGGCAGGGTAATCCCTTCTCCCTTGACAGACGATGCAGCTTGTAGCGTGCACCTGTCGGGGTTCGCTTTTCAAACTTATCACGAGCTTTGATATGTTTGTCGTTCCAAGCGTCACGACCTACATCCTCGAGGTTATGGATGTAGGCGTTCCACGCCTGAAGCAGTGAGGGACCATCACGCTTGTGATTCCCACTGTACCATCGATGTCTAAAGAAAGCATCGATGAAGAATTCATGTTCAGCGCGATAGTTTTTCGCGCTGGGGTCAAGGTGATGGATCCTTGACGAATCGAACAACCGTGTTCGATAACGATCACTCGTCGTCGCCGACAAGTGATCCATGACGGATTTGGGAGGCATCCATGCCTTCTTCTCAGGAGCGAGACGCAACACATTGCGGTCCCGCTCTTCCTGCGATGTGCCGACAGAAGTACTGGCACCTCGCTGTGAAGTGGTGTCCATAGGAGAACCGACACCATTATTAGCGCCCGAGTCTCGCGACCTCGAGCGCCTTCGCTTCGGCGATGGTTCATCTGATTCATCAGATGAACCAAAGATGCTGCGACGCAAAGCATCATCCATGCCACGCTTGGCAGGCGGCTTAGATTCAATCGCCGTCGATACGGATCCGTCATCCGTATCAGGAGAGTACGAGACACCGAGCTCGTACTCTGTGAAGACATGAGTGTCTTCATGACCAGCGCCTGCATCACCAAGTGACACAGGCTGAGTCGCTTCAGCAACCGATGAGACATCAGTTGCTGTGGTTTCTGCTTCGGCTTCCGCACAGAGACGTGCGGACGCGCTCTCGGCGGCCTTGCTCGCGCATCGCATGGGCTTGTTAACCATGCGATGAAATGTTGGAAAGTGGACTCGGACCGACAAGTGCAAACCCTGTCCCAAATGATTTGGGACGAGTATCCATTTAGTCAATCAGTCGCTAAAGTGACTGATGGTTAAGGGGGGGTGATGTAACGGGGTGAATCGTTACATAACAATTTATAAGAAATTGTTAATAGAATATAACTATAAGAGTTATATTCTCAGAATGTTGTCATAAGGACAAATATTCTGTAGCACTTACGAGTAGTTCCTAATTGGTTGATACAGGCCATTATATCAACCAACGAAGACGCGCCACGACAGACGCACGCAATGAGTGGTGAGCAGATAATTGATTTACACATTTGTATTTAGACATAGTTAGATGAAGATAAATAGTGATTTATTGCAGACATTAACTATTATAAATACAGTTCTACTTTTTACTCTAACCAAGTACTCGCTTCTTCTTACCGTCTTCCTCTGCACGTACGAGTGTACGTGAAGTTACGAGGCACCGCCTTATTCTGTCATCAGAATAAGTAGCTTGTACTGTCACCAGTACAAGCTTCAGGGTGCCCCGTTACAATGGCCCATATCAGCCACTCGGCAAGTGCTTCGGAATATTAACTCTTATGGTAATATTCATGAGCATTACCAACCGTTAGATGATATTCAAATTGAGAAAGTATCAAGTTTATCACATGTAACAGGCTCAACCCTGTTACAAAACCCCACTCCTTGAACGATAGTCAATCCGTCACTATCATGTTAATGTGGGTGCCACATCAGGGACAGGGAGCACTTGTCTCGTTTTGATCTGCTTATTTTTATTTATTCATCGCATGGCTAACAAGTCCCTGCGATGCGCAGCGGAAGTTGCTGAGAAGGCAGCTGCGCGAGTTAATGCATCTGCTCTTGAAAATGCATGGTTTCCTGCGGAAGACGATGTTTCATTTTCTGCCGCTTCAACCTTTCCTGCAGCACCGATTGCCGTGGTGGCACGTAATTTGTCACAGCGGGCTGATGATAATAATGGTATGCAAGTGAAACTCATCTATTCGAGGGAGTCGGACGGTGGGTCCAGCTCGAAGAAGACGCCTCGGTAGCCCAAGTCTCAAAAGGCGACCGAGTACGAGCCTAAGAATAGGACCCGAGCGGGAAAGGGGCTCATAGTCATTACAAGAGCCCATTTAGCTCGTCGGATGAGTATTCTGACTCATCTCCAGCGCCTGCTACTGCGCATTCGCCTCCTAGCGAAAGCCGTGATGTGTTGCAACGTCGTGATGACGATTCTAGTGGTATTAAGTCTTCCGTTGGTACCTCGCAGGAGACTCTAAACGGCAAAGTGCTGCGTCAAGCCCCTGAACAAAATACTTTTGTACTATCAGAGAGACTTGTGAATGACCTGTCTGGCGAGACAAGTCAGCATCATCGAATCTCCTTGTTCGATGCAACCTTGTTACACGGCCTCCACATCAGCGCAAGCAACCTCCGCGCAGAAAAGACTTCTATCTTGATGCTTTTATAAAGCATCATTGGTATAGCGACAACAACAAACTCGATAAAAGCTCATTGCTGCAGGCGTGAAACGCCTTTATGCTCAATATGCAGCACATTAAGCGTGATTACTGGCTCCGGAAATCTTGACACAGCTCGTGTCAGTTTAGGAAACGAACCTTTACTGGTGTAAAAGCCAGGATGCACTTTCTATCTCGTGAGTCAAGAATCCCATGACTCACGTGGGGCAATCCATGTCTATGTGGTTTAGACCACACTCAACACTACCAAAGGGATGTGTACCCCTTTCTTCGCCCTGAGGTGGGACACACATCTCTTCTGAAGTGCGCGATGCAATTGCTAACCTGAAATCGCTCTACCAGCGCCATGTGCGCGGGTTCTCCGATTGCCCTTCTGAGTCATCGGATGTGTCTTGACGTACTGGTGGACGAGACTCTCAACGTCAATTATCAATTGGGCGCCAAGCCCCAGCTGTCTTACGACGGCGTGTAGCCGCGCCAGCAACAGAAATAAATCTTTCGCTGCCCCTTCACGTCGCGGTGGTTTAAGGTACGCTCCACGTGAAAGCGTTGACCACCGCACGAGTCCACCAACGGCTGTAGTGGGGGCGGGAAGAGCAACTCCAAATTATGTGTTGGAGTTGTAGACGGAGCTAGATCGTGTTCAGCAACGTTAACGCGATCGGTGCAATTGCACCAAACAAAAGAGACAAAAGAGTTTCGATTTGCATGCATGGGTGCAACGCCTCCGCCTTCATCGGTCTAATAACCGAGCGGATTTCGCGTTTCATCCAGTGGAGAACGATCACATGCTTCAATCCTTTTGCGGAGAAGTATCTGACCTTTGTCACCAAAATGCTGCACGACAGAGCCAGATTGATAAACTGGCTCGGGGTCGTAAGAATCGCTTCAAATTTTTGAGCGTGGTGAGTGCATTTGCCCTAAAAAGATACCTCATGCTGACAGTACGGGCAGAGACGGCCGACATAAACGTAGGATGTGTGCGCATACCGCGGTGCAACTTGATTGTTAACGCATTTCCTTTGAGGTGCAGTACACGAAACGGGCCAATGAACTTGGGTAGCAATAAACTTCTACCCACATTAGCTACTAAGTGCTTAGGTAGATCGCAAACAGTAACATTAAGCCTCCGATAGTAAAAGAAGAACGTTTGCTCTTCCATGTTTGTCAGCGTTCCTTTTGTGCCAGTCTACCACGTTAGCGATAGAATCTTGCACAAACGGACCACTGCTTCTCGAGTCAACAGAAACATCTGTGCTGTCTCTGTTGTGTTTGTATCAGTGCGCATGATGCGCACTGCTAAGAGCTATCTCTCTTTTTCAGCAAGATTGTCATCAGCCTAGCTGGCATAGTTATTGCAGATGCAGAATATCGTCCTCGTCTGGGTCAGCAAAAGTGTCGTCACTGTTGCTGATGTTATATTATTCGATGTCAAATTGATCGACATCGGCAACGTTATCGATTACTTAGACACGTGATGAGCAAAATCTGGATCGGTTTTTGCATGAGCGAGTCACCCCCCCCCTAAATCAGATTCACATACATAATGGGTGGGTGGGTGTGGATGGTGCAAGCCATCCACGAAAGAAATTGTATGCAATGTCGACGCACGCACAGACCTATTTATTGAAAACCCCACCATCGGCAAAATATTACGCTCTAAAATGTACACGATTGTACGTATCCTCAAAGTGTCTCATCAAGAAAGTGGTTGAAGCGCGCAGTCTGACCATCATTATTAAAATGGTCAGAAGCTGACATAGCCAGACGTGTTCCGAGAGATCGGAACGCGGATTGCCAAAACCTCGCTGTAAATCGAGGGTGTCAATACGGAACTAGCTCACGGATCAGACCGTAAAGCCGAAATACCGTGTCAATGAAGACACGGGCACAGCTCTGTGCTCTTGTTGACTCCCGAATGACAGCAAGATGTACCATCTCGCTGAAGCGATCAACAAACACCCTAGTGTTGTTGTGAGCTTCTCCGGGAAACCAAAGACTTAGTCCATTGAAACGGACTTTTAGCACTATGTTGGGATCGGTAGAGGCTGTAGTGGCGCACGGGGTGAAGGAATGAGCGTAGCCTTTGGCAAACTTCGTAAGCTTGAATGTACTAAGCAGAAGCGGATACTGGCGATGCAAATGATGTCGCGACTTTTCGTGAGATAGGTCTTCTTACACCCACTAAACCCACCAGATGATGCATCATGGCACTTATTTAAGATACACAAGATTGAACCATTGTGAGTAGGGACGACACCACGAGGTGTGTCACCGGCAACGGCTGTTTAGTGCAGCACTCCTTCGCGTGTTGGGTATCGATCCGCATAGGATTGATACAAGTCCGGTGTATTTTTTATAAGAAATTTACAAGATCAAATCATCAGATGATCCACAAGATGCAGAATAGCCTTTTCTCCTGTGTAGGAATTTGTTGTGTCTTCAAGCAATGTTAACGACGGAACATTAGTAACTAGCGTTGCAACAGCGTTACCAATCCCACTGTTGGACTGCGCAGCCGACTCGAAGTCGGGTCGGCGAAATATCGCGTCCGCGACGACATTCATTCATCCAGGCTTATTTTTCACGAAGAGTTGTAATATGCGAAGAATGAAATCCATCTCGTCATTCGTCTCGACAGGTGTGGCTGTTAACGGCCATGCGTAAGGATATAAGTGATGAAGGGTCTATTACCTAGCAAGTACAACCTGACATTCGCCAAAGCATGCTTAATGGCAAGAAGATCATTTTCATGGACCGGGTAGTTACGTTCAGCCAGTTCCAGCTGACCTGACTGAAAGCATAAGATACGCTCAGCACCTTCTGCTTCATGCTTCATTAGGGCACATCCGATGGAAAAATCACTTGTATCTCAGACCGCATGAAATGGTAGGTCTTGGTCAGCAATTGTCAAAACTGCCAATCGTATCAAGAAAATATCACTACTTTCAAAGGAGCACTGGCAGTCAGCACTCCATGTCCGCTTCTCAATAAATTTTTAATGAAGTATAGAGATGAACATTCATCGTGGCGTAATTGTGCGATAATTTGTGCAAATCCGCCTCCAGACCAAGAAACTTTCGAAGTAATTTTGTCGGTAGGAACAGGCCAGTCAGTGGTCGCCTTGATCTTTTTCAGATCGGTCCAGACGTCGTGCTTACCCACGATTCTTTTAAGAAAAGGCATTTTGCTAGTAGCAAATTCATAATTCTTGAGGTTGGCATACAACTTGTGCCCACGCATCAGTGTAAGAACATTCGAGCGTGGAGTCGGTGGACTCTTGCATCCGTCTGTCTATCCATAACCCGGTTATGGATAAACACTTCATCAGAGTAACTAGGTGCGTATTCTCGCACGGATCTCAACAGATTCGTAATGCATCTGTTGAGCATAGCAGGTGCATTGCTTGATCTCTGTGGAATAACTAGCCAATATCAGAGCATACCGCTGGGGGTGATCCCCGCTGTGTACGGGATCTCCCTTTCATGCATAAGGGTCCGGTAGAACCCGTTAATCAGATACATCGATGAAAAGATGGTACTCTTTTCCATACCATCTATAATGACATCCTGCCATGGCATCGGCGTTTGAGCCGGTACAGTCGCATCATTCTACTTGTTGAAGGCATGAACAATCCGCCATCCTCCTGTGGCCTTTCGGACACAGAAGGTAGGAGAGACATTGTGGGGAAGTGTACACCCTATCCTTACCCGCAGCTAGGCGATCGGCAAAGAGCTTGTCATTCAATAGTACTTGAACACGGGGCAGTGGCCACTGCTTCATGGCACAGTAATTTGAACCTGGTTTCCGGCCGATCTTATGACAAGTACCCTCATCCTTGGATAACTCGCACAGCGCTATTTTTGGGAAAACATCTCTGATTCTGTGAAATCATCGAAGAGAGGATTTGTCTTGAGCAATTAATACGGTTGGGATGTAAATCGCTCAGTTTGAGTCTTCTCATCAAGGACGCTCTCTTCCACTGATGAGCTGCTGAAAACCCTTTCTGTAACGGGGTGAATCGTTACATAACAATTTATAAGAAATTGTTAATAGAATATAACTATAAGAGTCATATTCTCAGAATATTGTCATAAGGACAAATATTCTGTAGCACTTCCAAGTAGTTCCTAATTGGTTGATATAGGCCATTATATCAACCAACGAAGACGCGCCACGACGGACGCACGCAATGAGTGGTGAGCAGATAACTGATTTACACATTTGTATTTAGACATAGTTGGATGAAGATAAATAGTGATTTATTGCAGACATTAACTATTATAAATACAGTTCTACTTTTTACTCTAACCGAGTACTCGCTTCTTCTTACCGTCTTCCTCTGCACGTACGAGTGTACGTGAAGTTACGAGGCACCGCCTTATTCTGTTATCAGAATAAGTAGCTTGTACTGTCACCAGTACAAGCTTCAGGGTGCCCCGTTACACCTGGTAGCACTTCGTAGTCCGTCCAAGGACCGCGTTCACATCCAACATGAATATGTTGGATGATGAAGATGACCAAAGCTTTCACGCTACGCGTGACGGCTACTCCCATTTGAGCGATGTCGAATGGGATGCGGTTGAACGAATGGGTTCGACCATGGGCATCCATGCTGTTAGCGTCATGCTAGAGGCTCTCAATAGAGATGCCCAACATGCTACTATCGCCAAGTTCATTCAAAATGAACTTGACGCAGAACGCGAGAAAGTAGCCTTGCTTCACCAACAAGGTTCTCAATAAGCAGAGTTGTTGAGAGAACAAGGTGCTCAACAGTTTGAACTGTTGAGACAGCAGCAGGCTGCTGCTGGCGGATCGATGCACTCGCGTCGGCCCGAGACTTTGAAGATTGACATCTCAAAGTATAGGGGGGTCGAAGAAGACTCCCTCTTGAGATGGTTCGTCGAATTGGATGACGCCATAAGGGCGCGTCGCATCGACGACGGGGATATGCAAGTTGCATTTGCCCAGTCAAATCTGGCAGGACGTGCCAAGACTTGGGCACTGGGGCTCAAGCTGCACGACCCATATGCGTTTGGGTCGTTGGAAGTCTTCAAGTCGCGGCTCAGACAAACGTTTGAACCGCCTAGAGCTGAGTTCAGGGCTCGAACCGAACTCTTGAAGCTCAAGCAGGGTAAGCGTGATGTGCACGCTTACGCTCAACACATACGACATCTTACGAGTTGTATAAGTTCCAATCCAGTGGATGAACACACGTTGGTTTCGGTGTTCATGCAGGGTCTTGCGGATGGTCCCGTCAAGACTCACCTGTTCCGGCTTGAACTAGATTCACTAGAACAAGCCATTTCCATTGCGGAGCAGGAAGACTTCAGTCTGAGACAGGCTCGCGCCAGCTCGACATCATATCGTCAACCGAGACGATATGACAACGGAGGTCCAGAGCCGATGGAACTCTGTTATGTAGAGAGCGAGAAGGCTCGCTCTACAGGCTACAAGAAGTTGCAGAGATGCAACAGATGTCAAAAGACAGGACACTACGCTTACGAGTGTAGTGCCCCTCGTCCAGTGTCTCGCGACACTGGGCGTAGTGACCGTCCACCCATGAGAAAGGGGCAGGGACGAGGGTCCGCAGTTGGTGCAAAGACGCAACAACGGGATGGACCGTCAAAAAACGGACAGGATCAGTAGGTGCGGAGCACCCTACTGATCCAGCAACGTCAAGAGAATTTGTAGGCCTCTTGATGAAGGTTGCTCCCAACACACAGACATTGTGCGTTGCTGCTCTAGGTAATGAGATCTCACTCATTACTTTGAAACTCGAAGTGACGAATAAGTTGTCCCTTCGAGCTCTAGTCGATTGTGGGGCGTCCAACAATTTTGTGCGACGCCAATCGCTAGAAGATGGTCACTTTAAATTCAGTGAATGTGACACACCTCCTACGAGGATGACGGTACGTCTTGCGACAGGCGCATCCGTAATCAAATATGAAGCGTATAGTGAAGATTCACTATACGCTAGAAGATACCCAATACGACGATGACTTTATCGTATTGGATTTGGATGACAAATTTGATGTCATCCTGGAATACCGTGGCTCAGAAGGTACGAACCACGGGTAAACTGGCAACATCGGACAGTAACGATGCTCTGCCGCTTGTTCATCAGATGGCCATCTGATGAACGTTTTGGAGCGTCCACAAGCGTGTGGATGTACTACGAGTGAGTGCGATGGCCTCACTTGTGGTACGGTCGTTAGTACGACTGCACAAAACCTTAGTGTACCAAACGGTTACACTTCGGAGCAAAGTTCCGGCGGCTGTGAGGAAACACAGGCTGTGCCGAAGGTCCACCACTCGAATAAGTCGGGTGGACTGGGACAAAGATGTATCCCTAGAGGGGAACATCTAGAAGAGAAACAATCGATCGCTCAGGTTAAGCGAAACGATAATCCTAGATCGACTGGAGAGTCTTTCGTAGAGGATCTCGCTGTGGTTGCGCAACCCCAGCTAGAGGAAGTAAAGGGAATAAGTCCCAAGATTACAAATACGGCGGAAATAAGTTCCCCGAAACCCGCGGGAATAAGTCCCCGGGAAGACGAAGGAATAAGTCCTTCGAAGCCTGAGGGAATAAGTCCCCAGGAAATGACAGAGACATTGAATGTCATAGTCAATAACGGATCATGTGTAGGCGCTTATACACTTGATCTGATTGCGCCTCCGAAGTTAACTTCGGAGATCACTCAGTTGCCAACGCTCGAACATAAAAGGTTCTTGCGTGATCTGCGTAGTGGCAAAGTCAAGCAGATCTGCATACTCGTCGCTGACGACGAGTATGTAACCGACATAAGGTCAGCAACAGTGTTTACTGAGAACGAGAGAGTTCTCAGTAGTTCATCTATGGACGAGAGTGTCCTAGATGAAAAGACACGAATTGAGCGATATGAGTCCCAATCATGGGAATCGCTCAAGGAAAATCCTCTCTATGAAGATTTGGTTGAATTCAAGGATGTATTCCCTGAAACTGTTCCGTGCGAATTACCGAAGGATAAAGGTATTCGACACGAAGTCGAGCTTAAACCAGGCTCGAAGTACTGTGTCATGAAGCAGTGGCCACTGCCTCGTGAACAAGTACTTGCGATCGACAAGTTCTTTGCCGATCGTTTAGCAGCGGGCCATGTGAGGGAATCAACTTCCCCACATAGCTCTCCGACCTTCTGTGTGCGAAAAGCAACAGGAGGGTGGCGGATAGTGCACGCGTTTAACAAATTGAACGCTGCAACGGTACCGGCTCAGACGCCGATACCGAGGAAGGACGTAATCATTGATGGTATGTCAAAGAGTACCATCTTTTCGTCCATGGATTTGATGGATGGCTTCTATCAAATCCTAATGCGGGAACGGGATATACCCTATACCGCAGTTAGCACGCCTAGCGGCATGCTCTGGGAATGGCTAGTAATGCCACAAGGGCTCAGTAATGCCCCTGCCACGTTCAACAGGTGTGTATCACATCTGTTGAGGCCAGTACGAGAATTCGCGCCGAGTTATTTCGATGACGTATTCATCCATAGTCGAGCTATGGATGGAAAGTCGGACGTTGAGGTTCACAGGTACCACGTCCGACAAGTTCTTACAATCATGCGAAAGCATCAATTGTATGCAAACCTCAAGAAGTGTATATTTGCAGCAAGCGAAATACCACTTCTTGGGTGCATCGTTGGTAAGAACGGTGTACGTCCTGATCCCGAAAAGATCAAGGCGATCACCGACTGGCCTGTGCCGGTCGATGTCAAAGGTCTTCGAAAATTCCTTGAGCTAGCGGCGTATTTGCATAAGTATTCACGCAATTACGCCGAGATGACTGTACACCTCTCTCGTTTGTTGAAAAAGAACGAGAGGTGGTTATGGAACGCTGAATGTCAACGCTCCTTTGAGGGTATCAAGCAGAGCTTGATACAATCCCCAGTCCTAGCAATAGCCGATCAGGACAGGCCATTTCATGTGGTCTGTGATGCCAGCGATTTCGCAATCGGCTGTGCATTAATGCAGTACGACCTTGAAGGCGTTGAACGCGTCGTCTGCTATCAGTCGCGTCAGCTGCAACCAGCTGAGCGGAACTATCCAGTGCATGACAAGGAACTCCTTGCCATGAAGTATGCACTCGCGAAGTTCAGAGTCTATCTATTAGAGATAGACCCTTCGTTGTTTACACTGACCATGCGTCCTTACGCACGGCAGTGAACAGCCCGCACCTTTCACAACGAATGGCGCGGTGGTTGTCATTCTTTGCAGAATACAACTTTACGGTCGAGTACAAACCAGGACGACTTAATGTCGTCGCTGATGCACTCTCACGTCGTCCCGACTTTGAAACAGTCGCGAAACCCAACAGTGAGACAGTCACTGTTGCGGTTATGACGTCCTCAGTTCCATCTACAACGTTGTATGATGATGTGAGGCGGGCATACGCCCAAGATGGTGAGATAGTGAAGTTGTTGTCACATCTCTCCCAACCATCTCGAGAATCGTTGAAACGATTGTCGTCTGCGTATCGATCTGCATCAGATCGATACACTACTCGTAACGGTTTACTGTACTATACAGCCGTTTCTGGTGACACACCACGTGTTGTCATTCCAGATGATACTGATCTGCGTTTGCGGATCATGTTCGAGTATCACGATGCTCCTATAGGAGGACATCGTGGCCGAGAGAAAACATATCTCACGGTAAGTCGAGACTTTTACTGGCCCCGCCAGTATCAGTTTGTGCGAAAGTATGTTCGCGCATGCGAAGTCTGCCAACGAGTGAAGTCAAGTCCTTCACTGCGTGCACCTTTACAGCCTCTACCGGTTCCGGCTGAGTGCTGGGAATCCATCTCATCGGATTTCGTCTTCGGGTTACCCAAAGACGCACGCGGGAATACGGGTATTCTCGTATTTGTTGACAGATTCAGCAAAATGGTACACCTTGTGGCTGTACCAGAGACAATCACGGCAAGTGGCTGTGCTTGTGTCTTTATTGACACCATCTTCCGACTTCATGGGTTGCCCCGTGAACTCGTATCAGACAGAGATCCACGATTCACTGCTGATTTCTGGCGTTCCGTGTTCAAATCACTCGGAACGCGCTTGAAGATGTCAACATCTGATCATCCAGAGTCAGATGGTCAGACGGAACGTGCCAATCGTGTCCTTGAAGAGATACTTCGAGGATACGTACACTCCTTTAAGAGTTGGAGTGAGTTTTTGCCGATGGTAGAGTTTGCCATCAACAACTCGGTGCATGCGTCCACGACACATACACCGTTTTACGTGAATGGCTTGCGCCATCCGCGTGTACCCACCTTACTAGAGTGTAACTCTGGTTTAAGGGGGGAGGGACTCGCGCGAGCAAAAACCGATTTGGTTCACGCTCATCACGCTCTGACGAAGAAGTCATTGCGTTTGATGCCGATATCGATAACATCGATATCGAAGAAGATGATGCCAGTGAGAGTGCGGAAGCCCTCACTGAAGACAATGATCCCAGTGAGAGTGCGGAAGCCCTCACTGAAGAAAAGGTTGTTGTCGCTGCAGTGCGCTCACAGCACACTGAAGCTAACGAGTCATCAGATGAGTTCATACTGGCTCGTGAAACGGTAGTCCGTTTTGTGCAAGACTCCATCGCCGAAGCGGTGGATAAGCAAAAGCAAAACGCTGACAAGAATGGAAGGGCAAACACTCTTTTATTTAATAAAGGTGACTTAGTCCTACTGTCTACGGTTAATCTACCAAAACATGTAGTGACTAACTTGGGTAGCAGTAAACTACTACCCAAGTACATTGGCCCATTTCGTGTATTGCACCGCCTAGGCAATGCATACACGATCGAGTTACCACGTAAGATGCGAACGCATCCCACGTTTTACGTTGGTCGGCTTAAGCCGTACCATCAGTACGCTGCTTCTTCCGATGAAGAACGCCCTTGCGCTCAAGCATCTCGCAGAGAGCCTTGTGCTCCCGATGGTGGGCATCAACAAGGGTCTGAAGAGCAGTTATCTCAGCCCGAGACCGATCAACAATCCCACGAGCTACCCTTAGCTCGTCACGAAGAGATGTCAGAGATCTCTCGTTCTCAAGCTGAGCAAAGGCAAACTCAGCTCGATGCTTCGAGGCAGTGTCCACCATCTGGAGACGCCTATTCCGCTCATGCTCGAGATCGTCGCGTAACCCTTGCGTTACGCGATCAAAGAAGCTCTCGGGAACACACCGATCCACATGATCGTGTGGAGAGCGTCTTTCCTCCTCCTCCACCTCCATTAGAGGACTCTCGCGGTGGCCAGCGCTATCTAGTTGAGCAGCTGTTGAACCACTGCGACGTGAACGGACGTCGGACGAGTTATCTCGTCCGGTGGCGCGGCTATCCCCCGTCCTGGGATTCTTGGGAGCCCCGCTTCCAATTGATGGTTGACGTACTGGGTCTGGTCGAGCAGTACGACGCGACACATCCTGTGCCGCAGAAGGACCGCCGGAGAAAGTCTTCCCGGCACGGTCGTAAAGGGATTTCAGGTTGTCAATCCCTTCGTACATCTCAGTAGAGATACGTACGCGCCACCACGGGCTGGTAAGGAGGTAAGCCTCCTTAGGTGCTCGTGCAGAGTTGTTCACACAACATGGGCACGAGTCTCCCCAAGAGAGGCAGGGTAA